TCTAGTTATTTATGTCCTAGCATTTCTAGCTTAGGAGTCATTCCATGAGAAAACCATGCAAAATCGTGCAGAATTGGGAAGATGGGGGGTCGGCAGATCGAGTTCATCTCGGGGGGATTTTATGGACTCCCCTGACTACTTCACACCTGTCTTCAATCAATAAAAAATCATAAGTCAAATTTTCCCTATTGTATATGTCTCATTCTCTATGAAATGGCCAACTACTTTAATTCACGGTAAGCCAGCTCTCTCTGTTTCTTCACCAAATCTTTCGCCCGCTCTCACTGGTAGCAGATTGAAACCCCCTCGAACAAAACTAGTCTCTTTGATGAGGCTTGGCATCCAATCCAAGATGGCTGTGCCCAAAAACGCACAAAATTGCGTTTTTTCTCAAGAAAATCACTTCATACGATTGAAAAAAATGTATTAAGGACATTAAGGCGCACCTTTTAACACATCACATAGCAATAAGTGATGTGAGAACTGAACGGGAGCCGATTTCTTGACGAAGCGGCATCAAACGGAATATTCCAAAAGGATGCATGATGTCACATCTAAGGAGAAGCCATACAAAGACCACGGTGTGTCACTTATAATCAGTTTATTCCTATTGGAATGGCTAAGTGAAAGAAGATACTATTGAAAAAAAAGAGGGAAGAAATTGTGTCTTTGAATTATCGATGGAAGCCTTGCGTGTGTGCTCGACCACTATCAAATTAGCAGGAAACAGTTGTGCGGTGATACTCCAGTTGATTAAGTTAAGCGGTGGGCTTCTGAAGTCCTCAAACCAGCTGCATTGAGTCTGATATAGCTGTAATACCTTTACTAAAGGCCAGCTCTCTGCTTTTTTATTAACTTACGCAGCATTACAAAATTCTTGTTAAGTTCATCTATTTTGTTCACCTATTCTATGTATATGCCGGAAATATTATGCTTCCCATAATGAGGAAATGGGCTGTCAAAAGAACAAAGTTCAGGGTAGTTCCTCAAATAAATAATATGGCAAGGGTTAAAAATTCAACTACATCATATGATCATTTTCGGAGCCCAAAATGGATCTTACTGGGCCTTTTAAAACTGAATTTGTACATGAGGACATTTCTATCAGGGGCCACCTCTCAAAATATTCTTAATATCAACCCCAGCGTATATGGGCAATTGAAAAATCTCTTGTATCGAGTCTCCGGATGATGGATTGGCTGGGACCAGGCCAGTCAATCAATCGTAGACTTGATTTCAGAAATTTTTACAAATGTTGCACCTTGCAAATACTTAGAAAATAAGTTTAGTAAATTATTTTATGTGGTTTGGTTGTTTCGGGTTACTGTTGGAACTGATGACATCTCTCCCACTGCTACATCATCTGCAGCTACTGGTAGTGCTGCTTGCATCCATCATCAATCTACCGCTACTACGTCATCTGCAGCTATGGATAGTGGAACTGACATACAGCCTCCTCCTGCAACAGCTATTGGTGGCGAAACCAGTGACAGTAGACTCGATACAAGACAATTTTCAATGGCCCATGTAGGCATGTACGTTGGGGTTGATTTCAACAATATTTTGAGAGGCGGCCCCTGATAGAAATGTCCATATACAAATTAAGTTTATAAGGGCCTGGCAAGAACCATTTTGGGCTCTGAAAATGATACTATGATGAATTTGAATTTTTGACCCTATGTCATACATTTATCTGAAGAACTAACCTGAGGCGGTGTAGGAACTTGGCTCTTTTGACAGCCCATTTCCTCATTATGGGCACCATATTGTTTACATTCTTTTGGAATATTCCATTTGAGACCCAGGCGGTAGCGATGGGCAGCACAAATCACTTTTCCATGTAGAATCGACGAATTTAGATCTAAAATCCCACTTCGTCAAGAAATCGGCCCTCATTCGGTTCTCAATTCACATATTGCTATAAATAAAATAAAACCAAGTACGAACAATCCAAACCATAAGACAGAATTCGAAGTCCTAAAACACGTTATAGGCAAAATAGTGTATTCAAGCAAAATAGTGTAATCAGCAAATGGACTGCTCCTCGTGTACAAAATACACGACAAACAGTGGTAACAGGTGTCCGGAAGAGTAAGCTTACCCTGCCTGGCGCCACACCCGCCATAGCTGCATCCAAACTATTAGGCGAAATGTCGGTAAAATAGCGTGATTGGCCAATGAACTATCGGTATGCAAAATGCACGCGATGAACTGTGTTAACAATGTAGTAGACATTATCAGGGAGATATTAATAGTATACGTGTCAATTAAATATATGTAGAATAATAGCCGAGAGAGACACGTTATATTTATCAATCAAATCAATATGACGGCCATAAAGTTTAGTGCGCAAGTGTCCTTGTAGTTGAAGCTTAGATGTCAAATGCCTCGATCTACTTAAAAAATAACGAATTAGCCGAGACACAAACACTCCATAAGCTGGTGATATTGGAATGTTACTACTAATAAATGGAAAGTTAACAATCGGAAAGTCAAAGTCATCACGTTTATCGTACAATTTAACACTCAGTTTATGGCAATTGTCAAAATCGAGACGCAGATCCAAGTAGGAAGCGTAATTGTCACTGTCAGTGGTGTTTTTAATTTCGAGCTCATCAGGATATATGAATTCTACATAATCACTAAATTTAGGATTATTAAGTGATAAAACGTCATCGATATATCGATAAGTGAAATTAAAAAGTCTGACTGATCGTTTATTACTTTTTACGAGCGTCTGTATGTAATCGGCTTCGTATGAATAGAGAAACAGATCAGCAAGCAAAGGTGGACAGTTGGTGCCCATGGGGATGCCAACCACTTGCTGATATATTTCCCCTCCAAATTCAACAAAGATGTTATCAATTAAAAAATCCAACATCTGAATTATCTTGATGGCCGTGAATTTGTTTTTGGAATCACTGTGATTCTTAACAAAATATGTGGAATTGTAATTGTAAATATTGATATCTAGCAGTACCTGATTTAGAGGAAAAGACACTGTGAATAATGTCTTTCAACCGGGCTTTTAATTTACTATGGGGAATTTTAGTGTACAAAGTAGTAAAGTCAAACGTTTGAATAGATGAGACTGAAGCAAGGGATCTAGATTGCAAACCATCAAGTAATTCTTTGGAATTTTTCAATATCCACATTTGATTTATACCACTACGAGAGTATATTTTGTCACAGTATTTTTGAATACCCTCTTTAACAGCCTTTAGTATAGTTAAAGGATGGGCCTTAATGTCCCTAATACCCTCTTTCAGTCTATGAAGTCATTTTATTGCTCATATCCGGGATATGTACCACAGTCTATGGCCAAAAATGAAGAAAAAAACACAATTTTCTGCGGTCTCGGGCTCTGCCATCATGGACTGGATACCAATCCTCATCAAAGAGACTAGTTTTGCTGGAGCGGGTTTCAAGCTGCTACCAGCGAGCGCGGGCGAATGATTTGGTGAAAAAATGGAGAAAGATGGCTTACACAGAATGGAAGTATATTTGGCCATTTCATAGAGAATGAGGGATTTACAATAGGGAAAATTCACCAACTTTGACTTATGATTTTGCATTGATTGAAGAGAGGTGACAGAGATTTTATTTTTTATATCGATAGAGGAAGTCGATTTGTGCATAAAACCATTTCGATATTTTGACCTACCCCCGCATCATAGACAATAGAGCTAGTCTTCGCAGGTGTATATCTTCTGTTTTAGTCACCATATGTTACAATTTTGCTGATCATTACTCCTCGAGAATAGATGCGACTTTATGGTCTTCACACTGGGGCACAGGAAGACCCCCACTAACATCACCAATCATCACCATTTCCATCCAAATCCTAGACTCGCAACAATAGGTGTCTGAAAATTGACCAAAAATGACCTGAAAAATGGGAAAATTGGCCAAAAATCACCCAGAGATTGTTTCTCAATAACGGTGAAATTCTGAGATCGGCCCTTTGGTTGTGAAGTAGTCTTGAGGCGTCCATAAAATCTCCCCGAGATGAACTTGATCTGCCGACCCCCACCTTCCCACCTTCTGCATAGTTTTCTCGTGGAATGACTCTTAATTCATTACTGAGAAACTCTTTATATACCGTAAAGTGTTTATAATTTATTTCCTAGTATTTTTGACATTTTTATGATTGTGAAATATGATTGTTGTAATTCAGTGTTGAATTTGTCTGCAGGAAACCACCCCAACCGTATATAGATTCCGTTGGGTAACCGTAAACACCGTTAGTTTTGAGGTCTGATATTATTAGCAGATAGGTGTTGAGTGAATTGCATACCGTATAAATATCTCGCTGCTTACTCTTTTTATTTGGTTCATTCTACTTTGCCCATTCATCATTTGAGGTTAGTCGGGGTGGAAGGTTGGGTGGCCGAATCTTTTAATGCGTGCATGCTAGATCATAAGGTCTGTCATTGAGTGAAACGGTGTCGTTTTGGCCCTCCGCCTGTACGTGACAAGGATTAGGTCGCCTTTGCAACCTCATGGGTTTTCTCCTGGTCCCCGGTTTCCTCCCACTGCTAAAGACCCCTATGCGCAAGATAATTACTGAAATGAAGTTGACCTATATTTTAGTCCCGAAATGACTTAGTTTGTGTCGAATTGACGTTAAACCCCATTTCTCTCTCATTAACTGACATCCACGCGTTTACAAAGTATATCACGTGTATCCTCCCCTCCTCGATGTTGGCTTAGAAAGTACATGGGGAGTTTCCGTCTACACATTGTGGTGCATGTGAAGGATCCCTTCTTAGTTGGAATTCGACATAAGAGTAAGCCGTGATGTTTGCTGTCCGTTCAAAATTTCTCTCATAGCACACTGTATGGCGTATGCCCGTCTTCATTAGCCCAGTCGGAGCAGAACAGTAGTGATTAATGGTGATCTGACTCCATACACTATGCCATGGATTACCCCCCCCCCCTTCTTGTTTGTTATACACCATCTGATATTTTTTACAGAAATATAACAGTCTTATATTGGACAAGATGAATAGAATGACCAAACAAGAGTCAAAAGATTTCGAGAGGTAAGAACTGATTTGCTCTGATTCATATCAATCATGGGATATCAGAAAGATGTGGTGTCCTTAAAGGCATGATGCGTCATTTAGCGTTATAGGAATCCCTTGCAACATGAATCTGTCCATCTATGTTGTCAAAGAGTAATAAGGCACTAGTTTAGCACAAATCCAATTGAATCTAAGCCAGGAGATTTTGTCTTTTTGTTTTACTTCCTTTATTAAAGTACATATTTTATTCAGTGTGTATTAAGCCCTGGGAGATTTGATATATTAGCAAAAATTATGCATCGAGTTAAGAGTGAAGGAAACACTAAAACGTGGATGTTAGAAGTTGACCACAGCCTAAATAAAACCGAAAGTCAATCGTTTGTCTGTATTTAAACCGACTAATACAATGTAGCTAGTCCCGTCAACTTTCATCTAGCTGTATGTAAACCCACTAACACGATGCTGCTAGTACCGTCAACTTTTATCTGGTTGTATGTAAACCCACTAATACGATGCTGCTAGTCTCTTATCTCCATTCATATTTTATATTTTCAGAATTTCAGCTTCCATAACTGAGGCATTGCCGATGTTGACGGAAGTAATAGACAATAGAAAGGCCTTAGTGAGAATTCTTCGAGACGAAGCAGAGAAATTGAATAAATTGGAAAAAGGCGTACAGAAAAGTGAAATAACCGGAAGCGCGGTTGGTGTTATAGGAGGCGTGATGATTTTAGCTGGGGTATTAGGAGCACCCTTCACTTTCGGTGGCTCTTTATCTCTCACATCGGCAGGGGGTGCCCTCGGTGCGGCAGGTGGCATAACTGGTGCTGGTGCGGCCATCGCAAAATCAATTATTACTCGTAACAAACGCAAAGAAATTAACAAACTTCTAGAAACAGACGAAAGGTTGATGGGGAAACTGAACGAAAAATTAAAGCTTGTTCATGCTTCTGCGAAATTAGTTTTTTCCGGAACTAAACTAGTCGCAAGGCTTGCTAAATCCGTGGTAAAAACGCTCCGCGTTGGGGATGTTGCAGCAGATGCTGCGAAAGTCGGTGCAAAAGGTCTAAGTAAATTTTCTAAAACCATAAAAAATGGTGGCGCTGTTCTTACAGCCATAGCAATACCCTTTGAAATATACAATATTGTATCCAATTCAGTAGATATTCACAAAGGTAAACAGAATGAATTGGCCAAAGAATTTAAGAGGATAGCGAATGAGATCGAAGGAACTGAGAAACATCTAAATGAAATGAAATCCAATCTGTCAAACTCTGTACAATAAACCAATCTTTAATTGCGTTATGAAAAATGCCTTGATATATTTTAAATATCCATTGCAGTATGATAAACAACCCCACTGACGTCATATTCGTCACACCGTCCGATAATAGAGACGCCATGATAGACCTACCTAATCAATCTCCCAATCTTGCAGTCCAAACTATCTCTGCTAACGGCTCATTTGACTACGCCACAAAGATTCTTGGTGTTGATGGACAATGATAAGATAAACAATACGATTTAAAACAAATAAATGATAATAATATATTTAATACATGGGCGTCACACATGGGGGGGGGGGGCCGATCCCCCCCTCTCCCCCCCAAAAAAAGTTTGGGGGGGGGGGGGTCTGAATATACTTGGATCGAACCAATAATGTGAATTACCAGATATTTGAAGCCACTGAACCAGTTCATTTCCAGGACACCTAATTAACCGAAAATGTCACACACATCCCAAACAATGATTATGGGTGAGATACAATGATCTTTGGCATTGTGCAATTATACAATGACCGTATGGGTAAGGTGCACTTATACAATGAAGAGATTGGTAACGTACAATTATACAATGCCCGTATGGCTAAGGTACAATTATACAATGACCGTATGGCTATGGTACAATTATACAATGACCGTATGGCTATGGTACAATTATACAATGACCGTATGGCTAAGGTACAAAGATCATTCGTAAGGTACAATGATTGAGGGTAAGGTCAAATGATCACGGATAAAACCGAAACAAGAGTAGGCAGTAGCTGCACACTGCCTGTCTTCATTAGCCCAATCGGGGCAGAACACTATGACGTTAACCCCCATTTTATTTCATTCAGTTAACTAACAATCTGCTAGTCGTTGCGCTCCTCTTACTCCAACATACAATTTGATATTTGTGACACCCTCTTTACACTAGCATACAATCTGATACTCGTGACACTCTCTTTAAACATACACACAATCTTATACCCGTGACACTCCTCTTTACACTAACATACAATCTGATACTCGTGACACCCTCTTTAAACTAATATACAATCTTATACCCGTGACACTCCTCTTTACACTAACATACAATCTGATACTCGTGACATCCTCTTTAAACTAATATACAATCTCATACCCGTGATCCCCTCTTTAATCTAACATATAATCTTATACTAGTGCCCCACCCCCGACCCCTAGAGCTTAGTCATAGGTTACGTATTTAGTATATCGTACCATAAAGTAATTATACAGCATATTTCTATTTTCATATACGATGGTCGTAATGAAATGAAATGAAATGGGGTTTAACGTCCTACTGTTCTGCTCCAAAACTGGGCTAATGAAGACGGGCTTAAGCCATACTGTCTGCTATGAGGGTAATTTTGCCCGGGCAGCGGCGCTACGGTCTACTCTTATATCGAATTCCAACTGCCAAGGGATCTTTTACGTGCACGCCAATATGTACACTGGACCTCAGTTTTCCGTCCCATCCGAACGACTAGACAGCTGTCATTGTCGGGCCCTCCGTCCTGCATCACTGACAAGGGGAAATCACACCGGAAAATCTGGATGAACTTTCTCGAACACCTGACCACCAGGCTAGCGAGCCAGCGTCTTACCCACTTAGCCACGTGACCCCCCTGGTCGTAATGACTACAATCACCATACAGTGACCGTAACAGTGATATAAACGTTAACATACATTAGGCAAAAATTGTTACACAATTCGTTCTTCAAGACTCAAAGACCAAACTCTTTTTGTAACTGCATGTTATTCTTCAAACGTATCAATTACAAAACATCTAAGAAATAGCTTGTGTTGAGGGGGCCATGGTCCTAGCCTTGCTTAGATCCCTCAGGTGCCAACTCCCAACTAACTTATATGGCCCCTCTTAGACGCCATCGCCTGAATAATCTCCTTTGGATTCCCTCTTATAATCCCCCTTCTAGACAAAGGATCTTACAAGATTACACATATGGCTATTGCATTATACCAGAGTTCGCGTTTAGTACAAATTGATTTACAAAACGAAGGACATTGTCTATTATGGTAATGACTAAACGAGTGCCATCTAGACAACCATGGGTGCCAGTTAGCCGACATAAGAATATTTTAATCATTTTCGCTTTCATGTATCATGATACGATAACGTATCCATAACATCTGCCATTATGAAACAAAATGTACATTGAATAAAAGCGATTTCAGCTAATATCTGAATGTGCAATATTGAATGTTCTTTTTCCATTCGGGAGATGTGGATATCTTTGTAATCAACTGATTTCCAATGCATGTAATTACATCTCGGGTTTTAAGAATATTTTAATTGTACCAGAAGGAAAAGTAATTGTATGGTTCAGTTGCAATTTCAATGAACAATTAGCGAAAGGCCTATAATTGTTCCCTATAATTACTTCTTCGAGTTATTGTACATGTGAAAGTTCTAACTACAAGGGGTATTACAATTTCACTGATCCACAAACTTGAGTGACATCCATATTCCCATAACGAAATGATTTGAACAAATATAAATATTTAGAAAGGAAAGCACGACATCAACTCTAAATAAAATTTTATAATATCCGAAAGGAGTTATCTCCCATATGCTGTAAAATAAGCTGATTACCGCCTGAACTAGAAACAAGGACAAATGACAGGTGTTTGAAATATGATAGACAATTAAACTGAGGAAAATGGACACAATACAGATAAATTAATACTTAAGAAAAGATTAATGGAATATAAACCCATGCACAATGCTATAGAAACCAATACATGACATTGCATCGTATCATAAATACAGCTCAAACATCAAAGTTCACTCCATAGGCATACGAGCAAGGCGGGTAAAGGGGGGGGGGGGTGCAGCTGCCCCACTAACTTTCGGGCAATCTGACTTTTGGGTCAAGTGAAAAAAAAAAATATTTCATCTAGTTGGCAAAATAAGGTGCCCGAAATCTAATAAAACACCAGTTTTACTTTTCTTTTAATTGAATACCACGGATTTGTACTGAATTGACTGTGGATTAAAACATTTTCGGGCATCAATTATTATTTGTGAATGCAGCTGCAACAGTCTGATTGAATGGTTGGAATTCAGGTCGGCATTGAGTGGGATTTCGGTTACAAAACCATTGGACAACATTGGAGTTGATTATCTCACGGGCTAGAAGAGCAGAAAACGCATTTGCGGCGGTTACATTTTCAAAATTTTCACCAGGAGGGCGCGGCCCCCATACTCCGCGATGATTGGTTGTTTGTTTGGGGTTCGGGTCAGCCACCTAAGGTAGGCTATATTGGACCACATTGAAGTTGCTGTATTCATGGACTGGAATAGCAGGAAAACACGTTTGCGGCAGTTAAATTTTCAAAATTTTCTCCCGACGGTCTCGTTTCCATGAACTGTAAACGATTGGTTTATTAGGTCACTTTGACGTTGCTGTGTTAACGGGCTACAATAGCAAGAAAACGCGTTTGGTCGTCAAATGTTCCCAATTTTCTTTTGTGTGTGTGTGTGGGGGGGGGGGGGCTAACACAAATTCTTTTCGGGCATTTCTGGTTCTGCCCCCTAACAGTCATCCAGCCGTACGCCAAAGATATATATAGAATTAGAAATGAAACCATGAGTTGCTGCAGGATTACAAAGATTGGTTTAGTGTCTACAATATGTCTGCATCACACACATCAACAGAATCTGATACAAGATAGTGTTCTAAATTAATGCCACACGAAGGGAGAGTAGTGATCCTCTCTACAAGGCTTTCAATAAACTTGTTGAATTTACTGTTACTTTGTTTATAAATATGCGACAGTGCATCAGGTACACACATTTGAACAGCTGGGATGTAAACAATATCAAAGTCAAAATGTTGTAAGTTATTGCGATCCACCGTTCATAAATTGCTCCACGTAATTTTTTTTTAAATAAAGCTACCACTATCTTATATAAGCATTTGCATGATAATAATCTGTACATTTGCATGACAATAATTTGTACATTTGCATGACAATAATCTGTACATTTGCATGACAAGAATCTGTACATTCGATGAAGACACGGACGATGATGATTTGCATGATGAGTTTGAATCTTCAAGGGGAATAAACTTTAAATAATGTCATAGAATTGTTAGTAGTATTCAACATTCTTAAAGGTAGAGTATGGGTTTTAAAATTGCACACAAACTTTTACACAAAATAACGTTATTTCGTAGTAAATTTTGAAATGCAAAACACAAACTTTGAATACCAAATTCAATTTGCTCCAAATCATAATTTCTTTGCCAACAAGAATTAGTACAGTTTCATGACAAGAGTGGCATTAGAAACATTAGAAACGTCAAGAATACGGTTTGATTTCTTAAAAAACACTCAAAATGACAGGTTGGGAGGTTTTTTTCAGTATATGAAATTCACAACAATAATTCACATCAACAGTAGTTCGGAAATCTAAAACAGAAATGCAACTATTATCTGCTGAAACATATTGGTGTCAGACAGTATTACATAATTATGTGATAGAACTGGTTAAACACGTTCCAAATATAATTTTAACACAGAAATCATTGCTGCGATAGATGCGTTACGCAGATTTGAAGAAAAATTGTCCTTTAATAGAATCGGACAATTTACAAAATAAGTCATTAGAATAAGTATTAATTGAACTACCAGTATCTAATATTGCACATAATTTGGTAAGGTGGAAATAAAAAAGAGATACAACAATTTACCTTTGGGTTGTTGTGGCCTTTGACGAGTTGTGGAGTTTGGTAGTTTTCCGATCCACTAAGTTTACATTTGAAGAGACCAGGGGATCTAAGTCACATTTTCCATGAACTCCAGTTCATGGCGCCATCTGGTAGCAAATTGTATAAGCTTTGCACGGACAAATCGATTTCAGGTAAAAACGCTTAAACCGACGAGTGCGAGAGAGGACCGTCCCGTGTACGCCAACAAACCAGTCAATACCCTACTCGCTTGACAAAAGGTCTCCTTGCTAATCGGCCACCCAACGTTCACTTACACCTTCGGTCGGAGCTAGCGAGAAAATGGTCGAATGGAAAGTAGGCGGGGCTGTGTTACTGTCGAATGCCGAATTATAACGTACAGGCTCCCCGTACTGCGCCACTGACAAGGGGAAAATCCCGAGGAGATTTTTGGCCAACAACGTCATAAAAGTAACCGTTTCATTTTCTTTATAAAATGACAGATACGTGCTTAGGATTAGTTTTGTTAATCAGTAATGGATAACATAAATACATGAAAAAAATTATATATTTATTAAAGAGTTCAAGATCAAAAGTTATGAATACAACTATCTAAATATATAGTTATTTAAAAAATTAAACATTAAGTTATGAAAATATGAAGAAAAAAATCATACTATAAATCAATTAAAATTTGTTGGAGATCGGAGCCTATATTAACAAAACTTATGAAAACATGTATCTAAATATATAGTTATTTAAAAAGTTAAACATTAAAAGTTATGAAAATATGAAGAGAAAAATCATACTATAAATCAATTAAAATTTGTTGGAGATCGGAGCCTATATTAACAATATGAAACGAACGAAGTCAATGCAATTTGGCTGGATTATTTTTTTGACATTACCGACTAAACTCGAAGAGGGATGATTTGATTTGGCGTTGGTAGATGGACCAGATTGGCCAAAATGGCTCAACTCAAACATGATCTTATTTTTTAAAATTTAATCTCGCTTTTTTTTTATCAAAACTAAAAGTTGCCCGAGCCATACAAATGTTTACTTAAATTAAACTAATGTTAATAGTTAACAGTGAAATTAAACCCAATTTTCAAGAAACTTCTTTAACCAAATCTTTATTATTTAACTGAATTAAACAGTAACCCCACTTTCAGTAACTTACAACTTGATTACATCTTTAATATATTTCATTCTTTTCAGGTAGAGTTAATAAACATTAATTATGCACAGATAATTAATAAAATATAATTGATAAAGTATAATACAATAACATTTTTTTCCCACAAACAATGTTTGAGTACATGTACATATAATGAATAAAATATAATAAAATAACAATTGTAAGTGCATTCGGTTCCAATTATCTATTTAATAAGATGTACTAGTGGTGTGATCATAAATTTATATACTCTAAAGATACTTTCCACACAATGTATATAATGTAGCGCCATATAAGACAATTATTATTATTATTATTATTATTGTAGGGCAGTGGTCTGGTTATATAGGCTGGTAAATATAGAAAAGCACAAAGAAGACATTGCGCCGCAAAGGTTATTTTTTGATTAACATTCATTTGGGTATTCAGCATGTAAAAACTAAAGTCTTCAAAAATTGGACATAAATTCAAGATGGCCGTCAATTTGAATTTAATATTCAAATAACGGACAAATCGTATTATGGACAGTTAGAAACATGTATCCAAATAATTCGAAGATGGAGTCAAATCATGTCTGTGACGTCATTTTGATGTCATAACGCAAAAATAGCGTCATTAGAATGCATTAATAATATAAATATGACGGCCAGTACACGAAGATACGATTTTACGATCATTTCTTTGGATATCCACTGATACATAATGCTAACGGGGGTAGGAATCAAGATAGAACAGAATATATATGACCAAAACCTCACAAAATGTGTTGGTTGATATCATTATTTCCATGGCAACAAGTGTCATTGAAATCGGACAATGACCACAACCTAAGAAAGTGCAGTCTAATACAGACTTAAATCAAACTCCTTCAAGATCTTGTGATCTTTAACATATGTTAGGTTACTTCATAATCTGAGCAATTGGGGGCTCCAGTTGGTCCAGAAACCCTGTACAAGTTCACATTTTGTACAAGGTCCATAACCTAAGAAGTTGCGGTCTGATGCACACCAAAACAGATCCTTTGATTCTTAAGATATACATACAAACATTAATATGGCTATATTGGACTACTTTCTAGATGCCACGCTCACAGTCCGCAGGCCCGGCATAACCCTCACCGTAAATTTGTGGGACATTTCACCCCCACCCAACATCTGAACTAATTGTTTTAGTAGTACCGCTACATCATGCTTCGATGTTCCTTGGTACCTATCGTGGCTCAGTGAGTAAGACGTTGGCTCGCTAAACTGGAGGCCGTGAGTTAAATTGAATGTTCCCCCCTAGTCTGTGTTGTCGGATCGCACGCAAAAAGAGGCTTCATGTGCATATTGGCGTGCACGTGAAAGAACCATTGACGGTTGGATTTCGAAAAAGTAGGCCGTAACGCTGCTGTCCGGGCAAAATTCCCCTCATAGTTCTTATATTTATTTCTAGTATCACTAACATTTCATGTCAGAACACGACGGCGAGTATTACAACATCTAGCCGTTGCTAGATTGGTCTGAAAATCCCAAGCTTTTAAGTACGCTATCTCCCTTTACCGCAGCCATGTGAATAATAACATTCCCAAACCAGAGGTCGTGATACAAACACATAACGCTGTATGTTGAAAAACTTAAGGAAAACAAAAACCAAACACACGCATACTTCATAGCTTAATGGAAGAACAGAAGTGAATTAGTTCCAGCAACTTTGACATTGAGCGAATCTTGAACCTTGCAACTTGGTTATCACAGGAAGGCATTTCAGTTGGAAATAGCGAGACTTGGTATTTGCGATATTTTTTTCTAACGTTGAATCTGAGGGGTTTTGAACTTAGTGACGAAACCTGTAAAGTATTACGTTGAAGCATTGATGACTGGTACGGAGTTAAAGCAAGATGAAGCCTTCTTTGGATACTTTTGCTTTTTGGTTATTCTGCAGAATACCCTACTTTATGATAATCAAAAGATAACCTTTCCGGTGCATTTGGTTTCGGGTTATGGCTTTTTGTTAGCAAATTTTACTAGCCAGATACCAGTCTTTGCAAATTGAGGAGAAGCTGTTACTCTTCGTTTACTGAAATATAAAAACATATACATATACAACAATTGTTAAGGTTATCTTTATACCATAGTAATGAGGATCTGAGAATATTAACCAATCATATTAGTTGTGTATACATAGACCACAAGCTCGGTAAGCAAGTCATGCAATCAGCCCTTTCGATTTTCTATACTCCACGCCCATCTCTTGTAAAAGTTGATTATCTGGCATGACAACTTCGTGTGACCCTATCGATATTTAGCGTTCCGTGAATACGATGGGGGCTACGGTTTTTATCGGGTTCTTTTCATATTCAATGTGAAGCATTGGACAATGCTAGGTAGCTGTCTGTTTGTTATTCCAAACGAGGTATCAATTAACACCGGAATTGACCATTTCTGCCGTAAATATATTAAGATATTATGGTGTAGTGCGAGGTAGAAGAATATTTCTCGGCTAGCGGAGTTTTAGCCGAGTTTTTTTAATCGCAACATGGCATTGTTCGTGTACGTATCCAATCCGAACAAGGTGAATTTTTCTTTTTCGACGTTGCAGATGCCACTCCCAACGAATGAGAACCGGACTTGTAATATCCCAAAGATTTGACCCATGCTTACTCTAATAAGGCAATTAATCTTTAACCACAATAATACGGCCATACATCTTGTTGGTGATGCACCAAAGGGCTAACAGAAACACACAGAACAACACTACAATTCCAAGTACTACACCCACTATCCATAGTAGTTTATCTTCTCTTGGCTTTTCATCTTCGTCATTTACTATTTGACATTCGGTGGCTTATCCAATTAACAAGCGGTTGCCATTCAAGATACGCCCACATTTTGCAAGAGATGGACAGAGAACAAGCTCAAAAAAAGAAGTGATTTTTTCGTACAATCAAGGGCCATAATTCAGGAAGTTACAATCCGATATGCATGAATATTGAAAGGAACCAAGATCTTTGGGTTATAATAAACATGTATTTTAAGTTACATCAAAATCGGATCAAAATTGTGTCCACTCTCTTAGAGGGTCCAAAACCTTGATATACCATATATTTACAATATTTGCGTACAGCCATTTTGTCCAGCAGTGTTGGTCCGATTTGTACAAAATTCAGACTCAACCATCATAAGGGTTTAACAGTGATATATTCAAACGTTTTTTAAAATCGGATAAAAATTGTGACATCTAGAGGGATCACATCCTAAAAACGTGACTTTTTGTACAATCAAGGGCCATAATTCAGGAAGTTATGATCCAAAATGTGCGAATATCGAATGGAACCAAGATCTTTGGGTTATAAATATGTATTTCAAGTTTCATCAAAATCGGATCAAAACTGTGATCCTATAGGGTCCACAACCATATTTTTACGCTATTTAAAAACGAACGGCGGCCATTTTGTCTGTCAATTTTGGGCAAATTTTCACGAGTCGTCCTTAGGGTGTAACGGTGACATAATAATACGTTTTATAAAATCGGATAAAAATTATGACCTATATAGGTCCACAAGCTAAAAACGCGATTTTTCGTACAATCAGGGGCCATAATTCAGGAAGTTACGGTACGATATGCGCGAATATCGAAAGGGACCTAGATCTTTGGGTTATAAACTTACAAGGTCCACAACCTTGATATACCATATTCTTACGCTATTTGAGAACGAACGGCAGCCATTTTGTCCGTCAATTTTGGGCCGATTTTCACAAAATTCGAACTCAGTCGACCCTAGGGTGTAATGGTGATATAATAATACGTTTTTTTAAATCGGATAAAAATTATGACCTCTATAGTGTCCACAAGCTAAAAACGCGATTTTTCGTACAATCAGGGGCCATAAATCGAGAAGTTACGGTCCAATATGCGCGAATATCGAAAGGAATCGAGATCTTTGGGTTTTAAACTTATATTTCAAGTTTCAACAAAATCGGATAAAAATTGTGACCTCTATAGGGTCCACAACCTTGATATACCATATTTTTACGCTATTTGAGAACGAACGGCGGCCATTTTGTCTGTCAATTTTGGGCCGATTTTCACGAAATTCGAACTCAGTCGTCCTCATGGTGTAACGGTGATATAATAATACGTTTTTTTTTAAATCGAATAAAAATTATGACTTCTATAGGGTCCACAAGCTAAAAACGCGATTTTTGGTACAATCAGGGGCCATAATTCAGGAAGATATGGTCCGATATGCGCGAATATCGAAAGGAACCGAGATCTTTGGGTTATAAACTTACATTTCAAGTTTCAACAAAATCGGATAAAAATTGTGACCTCTATAGGGTCCACAACCTTGATATACCATATTCTTATGGTATTTGAGAACGAACGGCGGCCATTTTGTCTGTCAATTTTAGTCCGATTTTCACGAAATTCGAACTCAGTCGTCCTTAGGGTGTAAACGTGATATAATAATACGATTTTTTTAAATCGGATAAAAATTATAACTTCTATAGGGTCCACAAGCTAAAAACGAGATTTTTCGTACAATCAGGGGCCATAATTCAGGAAGTTATGGTCCGATATGCGCGAATATCGAAAGGAACCGAGATCTTTGGGTTATAAACTTACATTTCAAGTTTCAACAAAATCGGATAAAAATTGTGACCTCTATAGGGTCCACAAGCTAAAAACGTGATTTTTCATACAATCAGGGGCCATAATTCAGGAAGTTACGGTCCGATATCGAGAAGAACCGAGATCTTTGGGTTATAAAATTACATTTCAAGTTTCAACGAAATCAGATAAAAATTGTGACCTCTATAGGGTCAACAAACTTGATATACCATATTTTTACGCTATTTGAGAACGAATGGCGGCCATTTTGTCTGTCATTTTTGGGCCGATTTTCACGAAATTCGAACTCAGTCGTCCTTAGGGTGTAAACGTGATATAATAATACGATTTTTTAAATCGGATAAAATTATAACTTCTATAGGGTCCACAAGCTAAAAACGAGATTTTTCGTACAATCAGGGGCCATAATTCAGGAAGTTATGGTCCGATATGCGCAAATATCGAAAGGAACCGAGATCGTTGGGTTATAAACTTACATTTCAAGTTTCAACAAAATCGGATAAAAATTGTGACCTCTATAGGGTCCACAAGCTAAAAACGTGATTTTTCATACAATCAGGGGCCATAATTCAGGAAGTTACGGTCCGATATCGAGAAGAACCGAGATCTTTGGGTTATAAAATTACATTTCAAGTTTCAACCAAATCGGATAAAAATTGTGACCCCTATAGGGTCCACACCCTTGATATACCATATTTTTACGCTATTTGAGAACGAACGGCGGCCATTTTGTCTGTCAGTTTTGGGTCGATTTTTACGAAATTCGAACTCAGTCATCCTTAGGGTGTAACGGTGATATAATAATACGGTTTTTTAAATCGGATAAAAATTATGACCTCTATAGGCTCCACAAGCTAAAAACGCGATTTTTCGTACAATCAGGGGCCATAATTCAGGAAGTTACCTTCCGATATGCACGAATATCGAAAGGATCCGAGATCTTTGGGTTATAAGCATGCATTTCAAGTTTAAACCAAATCGGATAAAAATTGTGACCTCTACAATGTTCACAAGCTAAAACGTGATTTTTCGTACAATCAGGGGCCATAATCCATGAAGTTAAGGTCCAATACATACCAATATCGAAAGGAACCGAGATCTTGGGGTGATAAACCTATCTTTCAAGTTTCATTGAAATCGGATAAAAATTGTGACCTGTAGACTGTTCACAAACAATTGTGGACGGACGGACGTCCGGACGGACAGGGGCGACGACAATATACGTCCACATGAAAATCTGGCCAAGACAGAACTCAATAATTTACCCACGAGGTTGGACAGGCGATCCTACTCCTTGTCACGTACAGTCGGGGAATCGAAACTACGCCAGTTGACTCAATGACAGACTTTATGATACAGCGCGCACGTGCTACCCATTCAGCCCCCCCCCCCCAATGATAAGACCAAGCCGCAGTACATATATGTTAACAATTTTAAAATACCCCAAATTAAGTAGTAATAACAACAATAAGCTCATATTAGACACATTTAAATGAATACCCAATTTTTCATAACCAAAAAATGTTTTTGTTTAAGACTTAATTTGTTATCAAATTATGATTCTTATTTCGCAATCAACTTTCTTCTAGACGGGTAAAAAAAAATCATCTACATTTAATGCTGGTTGTCGAATCATATTTGGGCATATGCAACCAATCAGTTAATTACTACCTTGTTGCTGACCACGAGATACCAGGGGTATAAAAAAAGACCAGACCCCGAGGTCACAAACCATTCTCAGACTAAAGTTAAGAATTTACTCAACTTTCAATCACTGTTTATGAGAAATGTCTTTGATCCAGAAACACAAAACTTTGCACCTAGTTTCTTATTGATGTATTTGATACACTAAAATAATAAACGTTTTATTAGGGGCTGTAATTTCGTTAAAATAAGGCGAACAATTTTGAGTAAGTTCTTAACTTAAGTCTGAGAATGTTTTGTGAACTCGGGATAAGAACTCGCTCTAACTGACCAGAACCTCGATGAAATTCTTAGAGATAGATGGCATTCTAGAGACCGGGAAATATTGTTATTATCTTGCTTAAAAGAATAAAAGTTAATCATTGGCCACTGAGAAAATCACATCAAAAGAAATCCAAGCGGCGGAACAGCTCAATCTTAGACGTGGGATAACAGCGTAAGGATATTGTCCATTTATTTTTTCTGGGCTTACTGATTAGTGTATATATTATTTACCTGTTGAATAGTTCCACGATCTAGAACCGTTGTTGACGGAACAAACATAACATTTATGGCTAGCATGTGGTTCACCATTTTCATAACAAACCCCTCCAGACATACAGAAATCACCCTAAAATTAATGCACATCCAGAGAAATCACCATAAAATTAATTCACGTTATCAAATCAATTGCAAAATCGATATCAAATAATTTCGGTCCCTTTTGGGTTGTTTTAATAGATAACGTGTACGGGATAGAGTATGGGCATATACAATTACCAATGTGTACAACATTGTGATAATTTATGCCAAGTTATATCACTGCATTTGTCATCTGACTCGGATTAATTCAAATCGTTCAAGGGCAGTTAATTCTTATCCACAACTTCACGAGAAAAAAAATACTCCACAACTTCACGAGAACAAATATTCGATCGCTGTATTATTTAGACTAATCGCTCTCCGGAACTGAACACTTATAAAGGTGTCGCCAATTTCAATTAAAAAACCGTAGTGTCCTACCTAAATATGACACGCACCAACGGACAGACAGGGTATCTGTATAAATATACTGAGGTCTGTAGTCTCTATCATTCAGAAAAATGTTCTTCGAATATTAATTTGGGTGGGTTGTCAACATTTTGTGAACAACTAGGTCATTGCATAGATTATCCTGTCTTTTAACATAAAATGTAAAATATCTACCCTTTCAGCTAGATAGCGTAATAAGGAAGGAAGGTGGATAGCCTTTAAACAAGATGTCGACGCTTGTAAAAAGTATCCTTCTACAACGATCATATCTATGGTTTTTATTACCCCAATTTGTCGTCACGGTTCACGTTTGTTTATAATGAATGAATTATGAGACTTATTTCGGGAAGGGACACAACTTAATCTTTTCTTTAGCTATAAAACAGTTCCATTGTATACGCGTACCTGGGTTTTTTAATGTGGTTGATTATCCTGTAAAATTTCATCAAATGCGGACAACTGTCCCAGAGTTTCGGTACGTTAAAGACTGAGTTTCAGCGACTATAAGATCTACTATTATGACTTACTGTAAAGGAACAATTGACATCTAGACCATTTATTGTACAGTATTGACATCTAGAGTTAAAAATAACCATCAGACCTTCATCACTGTAAGCTATACCATTATTAGCTACAGATATTTTGTAAACTTTCACAAATTCATTTTCTGGTTTCTCCGTTTCCCGCCGATTGCTATGATTTGGTAGGAAACAAATTGCTTCACTGATACTTTCCACATCCGGCCTGTGAATTGTTTCCTCTTCATTCTGGACTGTGTTGTTTTCAATCATCTGGAACAATCAAGGATTTTGTGAAGTAATGTTGTCTGTTTTATTCCTGATATTTTTACAAAATATTGTTTAACTTGAAAGGAGACGTTTTATGGTTATAAATATGTCTTAGGATAGATTTAGTCAATGCGGGCTCCACTATTATCTACATGCATGATGTCTTGTAACTATTTGGGTTTGACTATACGTTTGTTACCAATGATACAGCTTTATAGCTTTAGACCTTGTGACCTTGTTTATTATTTACAAGGTGCTTTCGTATCCATTTTAAAAAAAAATATGGTTTGGTTAATTCTTTATAAATGTTTTGTTTCCAGCGTACACCAGATATTTTGTCTTGTTTTCGATTTCTGTGATATGCAATTTTACCTGAATATAATTGATTTTACAAGATGTATTTTCAGTTTCTACGAAAATTCCACCAAAAACAGAAACTTCAGAACATTCATCATCTGATAAATCACAATATCCATCTTCTGAGAGATATTCCATTACAGGTGGGTCGCTGATATTCACTGAACAATCACTACCACCATAATTCTTCTCACATATACATATTCCTGAAATTGTGTTAAATAAAGAAATCTTGAACATGTCTCAATAACTCGCCACATGAAGATACCCGGTATGATGATTATGAAGAGGGAGAATTTCAGTTAATACAATGAGCTCGCAAACAGAAAAATGCACACATAAAAAATGCCATAAGATGCGTAGAGATACTATTTAAAATCATATAGAGTTTCCATAGCTGATATCGGTTGTTTATTTCTCTCCACTGAAATGTGTAACTAATTATGAATGGATTATTTTTACATGTCCAGGTATGACAATATTGAATCATATAACGACGCAATTCTATGATATGTGAAGATATTTTCAATTGTGCTTAATGTGCACATCTTTTCAAACATAACCAATATAAATCCTGAATTTATTGTGATGATGTCATGATAATACATCGAAATCTATTGTCTATTACTATTTTAGGCAATCAAACTTCTAGAAACCCAGGAAACAGTTTAAAAATAGGGGGGTTGGATGGCTGAATGGTTAGCACGTGCGTGCTGTATCATAAAGTCTGTCATTGAGTCAACTGGCGTGGTTTCGAATCCCCGGTTGTACGTGACGAGGAGTAGGGTCGCCTGTCCAACTTCGTGGGTTTTCTCCGGGTCCCAAATTGACCTAGTTTTTGTCGAGTGGACGTTAAACCCCATTTCTCTCTCTCTCCCTTTTAAAAATAATTGGAAGGTAGAAAAAGTTGAAAGGTTCTGGAAAATTGTGGAAAACTCGAGAATGTTCCGGAAAGTTCTAATATATTTCTAAAACTATATAAGTCGGAACAGACCAGTCCGAGGGCAAAACATCTGAAAATTATTTCGAGAACATTTCATAGCACTTTGTACAGAACTCTATGTTGATCGTACAAGTTTCTATTTGAGCCATGTGGACTGTGTTCTCGATTTATTACCATCCCGTTCTGTGCTGTTTGAGAGAAATTATTGTTGTTCTAATCAAAGTTTAGAATTATTTTTGTAGATTATTACCACGTCGGATTATACCGATTCAATGATTATTACCAAGATCCTGTGTAATTCTGTCAACTTTGGAATTACTAAAGCAACACAGAGAAGACATATGTAACCGACTGTCAACAAATTACTATATCAAAGCCGAGGGCGAATAAGACCTGTGAATTTATGAAACCAAGTTTTTCTAGACCAGTTTTTTGCGTAGATTCCTAATCTGGGTGGTGATCAGGCGTTTGAGGGGGCGTTTTCGAGATGATCCTAAAAGACACATTTTGATCGATAATGAGACGGGGAAAGGTAGGAAACATCGCGGAAGGCGACTTACATCAGTAGATGACACTAGAAGAAAGATTTTCTGGGTGAAAAAATAACATGGCTAGAATGAAGATTTACAATGTGAAATGGTATATGAAGCATATCCAAATGACATATGCGAGCTGTTGGTAATATCTCGCTCATATTATAAACTTTGATTTCGAATCTTCTGATGAAGACTAAGAATAAACTAATATCTAAACATGTCTCTGATTTACTTTGTTTTTGATTTACATTTCCAGATCTCTTGCAACATACCATCATAATTTAATAATTTGAATGACCAAATATAGGTACTGAATGAAAAGCTAACGAGAAACCACTTTTAAGGTCAATATTGAACCAGATGATTTCTGTCCACAAAAATACATGTTGCCCCCCCCCCCACACACACACACAATGGGAATCTTATACATATATTTATAGAGATGTTTCATCAAGTTCTAAGAAACTCATCATTTAAATCAACGTGAATTCATTTCCAGCAAATTTACTCCCCCCCCCCAACTCCACACAAGCACACACGCAACCACCCACCAGTCTCGCCACAAATCAAAACAGTTGTCCAGGGCCATCATATATACTTATTTAGAGATGGGCAGTCCTAGAAATCTATGTTTTATTTATATATAACATGGTCACCATTAATGTCAACATAATCACATTTTCCCCCAAGTAGTGTAGACATTGGAACCCCCATATCTCTCAAACGCCCACTCAAACGCCTGATCACCACCCAGATTCGGAATCTACGCAAAAAACTGCTTTAGAAAAACTTGGTCTCATAAATTCACAGCGCGGGTGGCGACCCCCCCCCCCATCTTCAGCCAGTTTTTATATTTGTACTTATACTCATTATGTGTAGATGTTATAGTTGAATTTGTACTCATTTGTTCTAATATTATATCATTATTATTAATATCATTAGATTATTAAATCTGTTGTGCAGATTTGTCTGAATGTGTAAATTACAATCAATAATCGAAGACTGTAGCATTTATAAACATCGAATTTGCTTGCAATAACTTCCCCAAAAACATCAGAGCCATATCACGCCATTGGTGAAGGCGGTTATTCGGTGGATCCTCTTTGGTACGCATAAATACTTTCTAGTCTAAAACATCAGCACGGGATCTATGGATATTTCACCCTCCCCCCACCAACGCCATGATTTTGACAAACATCTCACCTTCAACACAATCGCCTTTGTTTGAACATTCATATGGACAAGCTACACGTTTAACTTGATTAAATACAGAAGGTTTTCCTGGTTCAGTTTCTTCTTGTAAAGTTGTATTAAATTCAACCTCATGATAGCATTGGGTCTTTACTGATTCTACAGCTATGGGTGAACATCTAGCATCTCCCATAGACTGAAATACACGTACAATACATTAAAATAAATAACTAAACACATATAAACTGGTTCGGTTAACCCCATGCATGATTACGAGATGTACCCAGGGCTAACCCTCACCCTAACCAACAATCATGTTCCCTAACCTTTTTGTCATCGGCGAACTTGACGAATATACTCCTTGAGAAATCTGCATGAAGAAATTACCAAAAGTGCCATTAAGACTCGGATTTCTGCTCTTTATATTTCGTGGTTGTAAATAAAATGAAAGAGATTATGTCACTGAAGCCTTCACTTGGTAAGCGAGGAAATGAACCGTATGCACCACACAATAAACACAGACATGCTAAGTAACAAACAACAAACGTATAGATCTAATCAAGAGAATGGGTCCGTGGGCTAACTGTACGTAGCGGTTGTGCTGTACAGTAGCGGTTGCGCTGAAATGACGTGATCGGTCCAAACGATACCTAAAAAAATATTATCAACAGTAGGGGTAATAATGTGATTAGAATTTCGGAATGAGCTAAAATGACCAGTTTAGAAATAAAATTAAATAAGTGAAAAAGCAATGTATTATTCATCTGTATCATTACACACATTCTTGATATAAATTGTTTGTTATCGTAATGCTCAGCTTTCACGTGGTCTACGAATGCTACGAATCACCCGAATATTGGCAAATAATCAAAAAGATCGTAAATAGTCTGGAGAAGCTACGAAACACTAAACAGTTACAAATAGTTTACAAAAGAGTTACGATAATTCGTAGGTTATCGGATGAAAAATATTCCTGATGTGTCTAGGTAGGTTTACGTTAAAGGTTCGAAATGAAAGAATCATCTATACAAATTGAAGCGATTCAGTTACGAATGAGTTACAGATATGCCGAATTGCTTATTAATATGCTACGAAAAGTTTACGACATTTGACACAGTTCATCAAAGAATCGAATAGGGGAGCTGTTACGGACAATTAGAAAGGGCTACGAAGGGTTTACGAATTCCTGAAACGAAAGATTTTGACAAACAAAAACATTCGTGGCCGAACTATAAACAAGACGATTGTGTAAAGCAAGGCTGACACTTGCACGATTCCGTGGTACGCATTGGCACGACTCGAGTCGTGCCAGTGCACAAACTAGTCGTAAACTGGCGTGAAGGTTGCGTAAACCCGTCGTGACTGCGTGCCATGTCGGGACGAGAATTTTGAAATGTTCAAAATTTTGTTAACGACAAAATTTAGCGACCGGGTCGTGAACTATGCGCAAACTGTTCGTGAACTCGTCGGGACGATGCGGGAGGATGCGTGCCAGTGCGTGGCAGTGCGCGCCATGCCACGACTGTCATGAACTGCCACGACTAGTTCACGAATAGTTCACGACTACTGCGCGACAGTGGCGTTCTCGTCGGTGCAGGTGTATATATAGGGCTCCATCCACCAGGGATCAGATCATGTGTGTCCGGATCTTGGCGTTCCACTTCTAAAATTGCGTGTGGGTATATGATGAGGATGAGGTTGTGCAGGACACAGGCGCACATGTTGATCAGGTTGATAGTGTCGGGGTGCTGATGCATCGTCGTCAAGAAGCAACGGAACCTTTGAGACGATATTCCAAAGGAATTCTCCACGACACGTTGGTCACGAGACAACCTGTAGCTGTAAATGCGTTCTCGTAGGACCTGTAACCGGTGGGAGAATGGTTTCATCATCCAGGTTTGGAGAGCAAAGGCGTTATCCCCTACGAAGTGATAGGGCAATGGCTGGTCATCTTTAGGGAGTGGTTCTGGTTGAGGCACTCCAGCTCTGTTCTCTTCTACAGCATCATGCAGGGAACAGTTACTCCATGTTCCTCCATCCGACGCACCACCCTCTGCCCCAACATCCACATAGAGGAACTTGTAGGTAGCATCTACCACTGCCATCAGAACAATGCTGTGGAAGCCCTTGTAGTTGTAGTAGTAAGAGCCAGCATTGGGTGGCTTCATGGCGATGTGCTTGCCCTCCACATCCCGTCCACAGTTGTGGTAGTTCCATCTGGAGCTGAACCTGGCAGTAACTTCCTCCCACGCCTCTTCAGTTTTGGGGCAGCGCAGCACTTCGTCTTGTAGACCGCGATGGTGGCTTTACACACCTCGGGTATGAACTTGCAGATGGTACTTGCTTCAACCCTGAAGCTGTACTGCAGACTTGGATAGGACTTTCCAGTGGCTAGGAAGCGGAGGGTGACAGCTAGCTTGAGTTCAACTTGAAGCGGTTCCCTCATGAAGGTCGACTGCTTCTGGAGGCGAGGGGTTAACTTCTCAACCATCTCTTGGAACAGATCAGGTGTGGTTTTGAGGTAATTTTTGTAGCCCCTTTGATCTTCCTTGTGGAGTTCAGTCAGTAAACTGTCATACTGTCCAAACTCTTGCCTTTTGGTCAACCATTCCCTGACCCACACTTTCCTTTGTGTCTTTCTTCGAGGTGGGGTTGCCTTTTCTTGCTCTTCTGCCTCTTACAGCCTTCTCTGCTGCTCTTGAACAATGGCTAGAGCAGCTGCCAGGTATAGGCATCTTCTCTTCCCAGCAATGATTGTGTCTCTGACATTCAGCATGTTGTCTCTTCCACAGCCAATCCAAAAATGACCAAGGGTTGGGGAGACCCCCTTTTTATATGGTGTGCCCAAGTCGGCACGACACCGTCCGAATTGCGCAAACTCGTCGTGCCAATGTGGGAAGTGCGTAAACAATGCGCAAACTATACGTGAACTCGTCGTCAATGTTCGTGTCAATGTGGACACTGATGGACACGCATTCGTGAACTCGTCGTGAACTAGTCGTGAACAATGCGGGAGCCTCCGTTCGTGTCCCAAAATGGCACGAGTTGCCACGACAAAATCGTGGCCAAAAGTCGTGCAAGTGTCAGCCTGGCTTAAGAATCAAATAAGAATCACTCACGAACTTCAACAACCGTCTGCGAGTTATCTACGAATCGGAAAAAGTTTGGAAAGCGAGCACAAAGGATTTGTGTCCAAAATCACTTACGAATTTCAAGAACCGTCAATGATTTATCAACAAATTGTAAAATCGGGGCGATTCTTGGCATTCATAACCCACGTGAAAGCCAGGTATTACCGACCGCACAAGAAATCGAGCAACATCTTGTAGGTTAATATTAAGTAAGGTTGCCTGATTTGTCAATAATACCGATATTAATCAAGAACAGGGCAACTGGCGTTCACTGGAAGATCGGAATCCACCGGAACTGGATTGCTGGGAGAAGGACACTAAATTGAAAACATTACTACCTGTCAACTTGCTCAGGGGTCTGCCATGTGGCTCATCAAAGGTTGCATCCAAAACCACAACTAAATTAAACTGGATATTACCTAGTTTCGTGGAGGTTATGTTCCTGTTTTGTGGGTAGAATTTGTTTTTGTTTAAAATACTATGGGAGTTATTTGAACTGGCGGCCGTCTTAGACGTCATCTTGAATTACTCAAAACGCTTAAGGGTGACGGAGGTTCACCCGGCAGATTCTAAACGAGGACACCCTAAGCTACTAAAATCAACCCTAACAAAATCTGTGTAAACAATTACCATGTTCAGTCATAGTTCGGTCGGACTAATTTCTTGCTGTATTACTGATCCCGAAACTATTGATGCTGTCAATATGTAATTGTATTATGCTTTGGGGAGTAGTTTTTTTCGAAACTAACAGAATCAGTATTCCGACGTTTGATTGACGATTTAGCTTCTCGAAAGTGAAAAGCCCAAACGTTTTGCATAATGTTTATCACATATGCTTTATTAATTATCTACAAAGAGTTGGCTTGGCATAATTTGAGTTAGTCAGGAAATTACTAGAGGATATGATACATCGGGACTTTGCCGGATTTTTTTTTTATGAAACTAAATAAATATATGATGCTGCATCAATTTAATATTATATTTACTGTTTTTCTTCATATTGGAATTATATTGCTTTTATAAAATGTCTAGTTCCCTTATGGATTTATAAGTGTCATCATTAATTTAGTACGGAACATAAGTCGAACTGTGAAAATGTCGATCGCAGTATATAGGTATTTGCGGATTTGACGTTTAAGAAAATAAACCACTTCCAAATCCACACACAATTTAGTTTCAATCGCTTATCTCCCCACGAATACACTATTATAGCCTTTGCTTGATATTCAACGAACACATCAAATTGATTTCTATTGGCACCTTTCTGGGTGAAATTATTGATGTCAGTAATTTTCTGAGAGATAATCAATATTCTGTTGAACAGTCAAATACATAATCCGAACGCACTAGACCGACCGTTCTGTCTATCAAAATATGAACTGCTCCCAACCAACCCACAACTTAGAACAAAGTCTAAACACATGCGTGTGTGTGTGTTTATAAATTATATAAATTATACACAAAACAATTCCTACTTTAATATCTGCGATACAGTTGTTCATTGGACCATTTAAGTCAACCGTTGGTATATCTTTACAAATCTGTACAGCTGAAGAATTCTTAAACAGCTCTGTACAATATGATATGGCCCTTTCTTCTGTCCAACCGCTTCTCCACATATCTTCGACACTCTATAAATAGTCAATCATCATATAAATAGGAAGAATTATATTTTGGTAATATGGGGTGCCATACAAGACATTACTGAATCCCACAGGGACACCAGTTACTTTGGTGTATTCTACTAATTTGTCATCTGGATGTATCGACTATAAATTTCATTGCCCTTGTAGGATCGGTATAGATTGCATTATTCGCCATTTGTTTAGACGCTGGTATAATCTGCATTACTCGGTGAGTCATGCAGCTGGCCTGCTAATCAGCAATCAGCGGGGTTTGCTTCCTCTGTGGTTTCCCCTTGTGAAGACGGAATACCTGACAGGGAACATTGTTTAGTCGTTAGGATGGTACGTACGATAAACCGAGGCCTCGTGAACGTATTAGCGTGCGCGTGAAAAATAACTTGACATTGGAAATCATATAAGAGTAGGCCGTAGATCCGCTGTCCAGACAAAACTGAATGGCGTTTGACCTTCTTCGTTATCCCAGTCGATGCAGACAAGTAGGACGTTTAACCCCATTTCCTTTATTGAGACCGGTAAGGGAGCTCAATCTCTAATTTTTGGGACCTAAGAATTGACACAAATGAGTCGCAACGCATATAATAATATAATATGAAAGTATATAAACTGATTTACATTTATTCGTTTCCGTTTTTACTCTTAATTTCAAATTAGTTATTCCAGTCTACACTGATTGTATTTTTTGTACGTGCTTTTCAGATAAGAATATGACGTCATCGTTTAACATGACTCGTGGAATATGTCTAACCTCGTTCTTCGAGTCCCTTGTTACAAATGGCGTTGAAACGCATTATAGTACACGATTCGTGTACAATGGGCTTTTACCGTTAAGATCACTACATGAATGTTGATTTAGATTGACAGACAATTCGTGTTTTCAATGTCGAAGACTTTAGGTGATATTGAGTTAGAGACTTGGCTATATTTTAAATTAACAAAATATTGTCGCCTGACATGTAAAGATAATACATGTACACCAGTTCAAAATCTACAGCTCTCTACAAATCTCCAATAATCCCTTTTAGATCAAAGCTGAGTCGGCGTATAATTGTCCGCGTTAGCTTGATCATCAGCACGTTTAATTGCCAAATAGCTCTAACCGGTGTATTGGTCATACTCTCCGCAGTTTTTCGTTTGATTAGAGCTAATTCCACTAAACACTGCTTTAATGGAAGCACATTTCTGTTCCAAATTATGACTAGTCAATAGTCCGATTAACAACCAATACTTAACTGCGTAACAATATGATTACGCTTTACACAAAGCTCCAAATTTGGCCAAACGTGTTTACATAACGTTACGTCATGACTCACGATTTTATTATGCCCAATTAACCAGTGCATAGCAGAATATTGCAGACAAACTAATTGCGTGACAAACGAGGCTATCAAAACGGATACAATGTAAACAATACTTTATTTAGGCGAACAAGACTTTCACCGTTTTTAATACCTTAAATCACTGTAAAAAGTTTAAGGGAAGACCTCAGATTAAACAAATGGCTATCATGTTGCTGTACTACGAATAGATTTGATTGAACGGGAAGAATAGACACACTCCCTCAAAATCCCAAGTATCAGAAACCAATCCAGCAATGGCCAGAGAGGGATGTGTATCGGTGTGCGAGTAAGCTTTGTAAACAATGTTTCGAGAGGGAGAGAGAGAGAGACAGAGACAGAGAGTTGGGGTTTAAAGTCCACTTGACACAAACTAGGTCATTTCGGGACTAACATATGGTTTAATTTTATTTCAATACTTTGCTTGTGGCGTAGGGGTCGTTAACAGTGGAAGGAAACCGTAGGCCCCAGAGAAAACCCACTAGGTTGGACAGGTGACCCTACTCCTTGTCACGCACAACCGGGGATTCGAAACCACGCCAGTTGACTCAATGAAAGGCCTTATGATACAGCGCGCTCGTGCTAACCATTTGGCCATCCAACCCCCCGCCCCCACAATGTTTCTGGTAGTAGTGTTCTGAATATCGTCTAACTTATAATTGGATCCGGGGATCACGTGGCTAAGTGGGTAAGACGCCAGCTCGCTAGCCTGGAGGTCGGGTGTTCGATCCCTGCATTGGCCGAGAAAGTTCATCCAGATTTTCCGGCGTGGTTCTCCCTTGTCAGTGATGCAGGACGGAGGGGCTGACAAGGAAACCTGTCTAGTCGTTCGGATGGGACGAAAAACCGAGGTCCCGTGTACACATTGGCGTGCACGTAAAAGATCCCTTCGCAGTTGGAATTCGATATAAGAGTAGGCCGTAGTGCCGCTGTCCGGGCAAAATTTCCCTCATAGCACACTGTATGGCTATGTCCGTCTTCATTAGCCCAGGTTAGGAGCAGAACAGATTCATTTATAATTGGATCCTGTAATAATGGTAATACTCGTATTTTTGAAATAATATACATATATATGATATTTACCCGTACAATCCTATGTTTTACTTCACGGCGAAATCGGTATTCCTTTACAGACAGCTTTGTGGAACACTCCCTTATGGTAGTGTGATTCTTAAAAGCGGCACCACAGTTTCGCCTACACGTTACATCATTTGTTGCATCATTTGTATCATCTTCGTTAGGATTACAATTACAGTAAAAGTCTTGGTAGTTGAGAGAAGTGAGATTATCTAAATCATCGCTAAACAGATCTGTAATGTTACCTGTAACTCTAATGTAAAAAAAGTAGATTTGCAGAGTAAAACTGACGTGAGCGATGTTCCATTGCATTTCTTTAAATAAAATATAGTCATTGGTTGCCGGTCAAGATACGCCCACATTATTCAAGAGATGAAAAGAGAATAAGCTAAAAACAAAAACGATTTTTCGTACAATCAGGTGCCATAATCCAGAAAGTTATGGACTGAAATTCGCAATTATCGAACGGGATTAGGATCTTTGAGATATAAAGATACATTTTAAGTTTCATTAAAATGGGATAAAAATTATGACATCTAGAGGGTCCATAACCTTTGTATTACATACTTATACACAATTTGAGTACAATGAGCGGCCATTTTGGCGGGCATTTTCGTTTCGATTTTCCCGAAATTCGAATTCAACCTTCATTATGGTGGAATGGTGATATATTTAAAAGGTTTTTAAAATCGGATAAAAAAAAATTGTGACCTCTAGAGAATACACAAGCCGAAAAGACGCTTTTTCGTACAATCAGGGGCCATAATCCATGAAATTACGGTCTGATATTCTCAAATAGTGATCTCTGGATTATAAACATATATTTCAAGTTTCGTAAAAATAGGATAAAAATTATGACTTCTAGCGGGTCCACAACCTTGATATACCATAATTTTAGACTATTTGAAGCGATTTTGTCAAGCAGTTATGGCCTGATTTTCACGAAATTCAACCTCAACCATCATTAGGGTGAATCTGTGATATATTCACACGGTTTGAAAAATAGGATAAAAATTGTCACCACAGACTAAAAACGGGATTTTTCGTACAATCAAGGGCCATAATTCAAGAAGTTACAGTCAGATATGCGCGAATATCAACAGTAAGCAAGATCTTTGAGTTATAAACATGCATTTCAATTTTCATCAAAACCAGATGAAAATTCTGACCTCTAGAGTGTTCACAAGCTGAAAACGTCATATTTCGTACAATCAGGAATCATAATCTATGACGTTATGGTCCGATACTTTGCAATATCGAAAGTTTCGTCAAAATCGAATAAAACTTGTGACCTGAAGAGTGTCCGGACGAACAGGGGCGACTACATAACACGCCCACATTTTCATGTGGCGTACAAAAACAACACTTCGTTAATGGTGACCAATCGGTGACTTACCACGGCGGCTTCGTTTAAGCTGATTACGACAATGCCATATATCTCCAATATAGCATTCCCGACCCAATCATTATACTATATTTGATAAGAACACCCCTTCGATCACAGAACAAAATGATTTATCAAAAGACCTAGATCACTATCAGATTACTGACAGGGTATTGTATTATCAAGCTCCATGGACTTTATTAAACCCAAACTATGATACAAGCCTAATTGATGTTTTTAAGAAGAAAGAAAATCCACAATATGCTCAATGCTGTCGCAGGATTTTCTGAAGGATAGTCAGACGGGTGTCAAAATCCAAACACAAACAAAACTGAGTTAGGTGTCCACATTCCAGAATTAAATGTTAATAGATCAAAAAGCTTACCAGATAGATGTTCTATCTATACAGCAGAATAAAGGGCAATGTCCACAGCTCTTAACTGGCTTTTATCATGCACCATTCAAAGAGCCGTCCTTGTCTCAGACTCCCTTAGCAGCATAGAGTCAATAATACACGACACAATAACACCAAGATCAGAAATTATTCACAATAGTCGGACAAAACCGTAGAATTTACATGGATACTATCCCATTTCGGCATAGTAGGAAATGGGTCTGCAGAAAAACTTGCTCGCAAACGACTCAACTCTCAGCGAGATCCAAAATTTAAAATATAGCACACAGGAATTTAATAGCATTGATAAAACCAAAATTAAATCAGAATGGAAAAATAAGTTGGCCAAGCAAAGAATTTTAGATTCAAATTAAATAACGATCTAGTTGTAAAGAGGGAGATCAATATCCCGCCGCGCAACATAATTATGTGGGTTAATCACAAACTGAGAACTAAGGAGTTAATAACCCACCAAAACTATAAACCAGTGAATTGCGAATGCAGTCGCATTTTAACCTTTACTCACATTGTCACCGCGTGCAATACATTGGAAGAGAACAGACTCCCTGCAAGAAATTTAATGGATGGTGCAAAACTTCAATATATCCTCCAAAATGTACTCTTTCCTCTCGGGATATGTCATATATTACATTTATGAAGCGATCTCAAAATTCATAGAATCGGGCATTAACGGTTAAACTAGTCTCTCAAAATAGAGTACTATATGACTAGTCATGGACAAATACTGGTTTTTGTATGACCAAGTTGTCATCCAGATCATAGAAAACTTTAGGGACTGCAGACTATATATAAATCTAAACGTTCCACTGTTAAAGACCCATACGTGAAAGCGAATTATTGAAGTAGAAATTGAACCATATGTTATCCCGAAATTACCTAGTTTGTGTCGAGTGGGCGTTAAACCCCAAGTGGCTATCTCTCACCATTCTACCAACAGATAGCGGAAGTTCTATTCGCACATGCGTGTCTGAATAAAACGGAAACCGAAATCATTTACCAGTTGTCAAAATTTTATAACTGTACGAACAGTTTTTAATATGCAAATAATCCACGGGTCCAGCTATGTGATTTTTCAATGCGTGAACTTCGCTAACTGCAAACGTATCCTATTTCCCATGTGTTTTTTTTTTCTATCCGGACTGATGACGCCAAATATCAATCCGTAGAACTTCCTGTTTTATTATGACAAAGGGAGAAGAAGATGACCAATCCTCTCTTCTCACTTGCGAATGTTAACACCAAATTAACATACAGGAACTAATTGTTCATGATTTTAACCATTTTTCTTTTTTATAATAGGTCTGGATATGTAAATAACTTTATTGTACGTTAAGTTTGTAGTAAACAAAAACGACAATCCTTTGCTTGATGAATGATGTTAACATTTTAACAACAACGGTGATGTTTCTTGCTTTGGGGCAGTTGAGGCTATCCGACGAGTTCATGTTGATGGTGTCTTTGGCATATTAACAGCGAGGTTAGATTTTACGTGAAGATAGTGGCCTTTGTAGGTCGTATTCATGTAGACACAAGTACGGATTAGGTTGTCAACGTTTGCGACAGAAGCGGTTGTCATGCACGGAAAATTCTAACAGTACGTCACCCAGTTATAAAAATTAATAATATTCGACCGAATTGTGTATTTCCCGTTCTATTACTAAATAATATTTGCAAAACAACAAAAGAAAGGTCATTATAACTTATAATCTACAGCAAGTCAAGTCATACTTACTTCCATGACATTGAGAATTCTCTAGTGGTCCTTGAAGCTTCCCCATTTCGAAGTATTCTTTCATTTGCGTTAGGGTTATATTTATAGTGATTAACATTTCCACACAAACCGCGGGAAATGTTCACATCAGCATACGATGGTGTTATGAATACATTTGTAAAATTCCCACCATGTCTATTTATCAGGTTGACTGTTATTAACGTTGAACTTGGAAGTACAATCTGTAATTTGATAATAAATTAAGCAGATATCATGAAGAATGGCCAACAGATTTAGTGTATCCTAACTAATTAGCACGCTGTAGACCCATATAAGTAAACCTGTAGTTGATGTCAAATGTTTTATAATGAAAACAAACTGAATTTTGAATATATCAAGACATCACATGAAGGGAACGATTGGTATGTGTTGATCATAACTGTATGGCTAATTGTTGTGAGAGCACTAAAACCTTATGCGTGTGGACGTATAAAAGGGAGTATAAGTCCGGGACGTATGTATGTAATTAGTTTATATTGCTCGTGACATCAATGAATCCATACAAAATCCCCCCCTCTCTCTCTCACACACACACACACACACACACACTTTTTGGTCAATTACAAATACTAGAGATTGGAGAAATTCGTGTGGCTGTGAGTAAGGTAAGGGACCATAAATCGAGAGAGAGAGAGGGGGAGGGGGCTAACGTCCACTCAACAAAAACTTTGGGGCTAATATATGTTTCAACTTTATATCAATAATTCTCTTGCAGTGGGCAAATGAAATGAAATGAAATGTGCTTTTATGGCACGTCAGCTCCAACCGGGCTATATTGCGCCAAACATATGGTGAATATTACGAGACAGGCTAAATTATAATGCAGAAAAACATTATATGCATAAATAAAAAAAATATCACAGTTAGTAAAAATAAAATGGTGAATATTACGAGACAGGCTAAATTATAATACAGAAAAACATTATATGCATAAATAAAAAAAATATCAGAGTTAGTAAAAATAAAAATAAAATACAACTTTCATGCATATAAATATTAAATACAAAAATCAAATGATACATTTTAAAAAGTCTAACACTTTACCATATAAACCCGGTTGGGCAAACCTGTGATGTAATGACTGACAACGGAAAAAATTTGATATAATATCTTTGAAATGCTTGCACTCAATCAAAATGTGTTTAATTATCAGAGGAACATGACAGTGTTCACATTCCGGTCGAGGCTCTCTCTTTAAATTGAAAGTATGAGTTAAAATAGTATGACCAATGCGAGAGTAACACAAAACATATATCCTGTTAGTTCTATAGGAGTTGGGCTAGTCTCCTAGGAGAGGCTGAATGTGATGAAGTTTGTTCGTGTCTGCAGGATGCCAAGACCGTTGCCAGCCGCCATAAGTAAAAAGATTGATTGAAGATTTAAAATCAGAAAATGATAATAGAAATTGTGATATGGGAAGATCTAAAGCAGACTTGGCAGCTAAGTCTGCTTGATCATCCCCTTTAATATCAACATGACTGGGGAGCCAGCAAAGGACAATGTCCTTGCTGACGAACTCATGTGATAGTAGCAGACGATAAATGTCTTCTACTAAATGTCTGCTGTTTGTTGTTTATTGCCTGTAAAGTGGACAAAGAATCAGTAAATATAACATGAAGGGGATTGAATGAACTGAAATGCCGGAAAAATGGTCTACAGCAGTAAATATGGGAGCAGCAGGTGGAAGTCTAACAGTAATGATTCCAGATGGCGTGACGGTAGCCGAAGATACCCGATCACCATCTTTGGAGCCATCTGTGTAAATGGGAGCATAATCACCTTATTTAGAGCACAACTCTCGAAAGAGAGATTGAAACACCGTGGAGCTAGTATCTTTCTTTTTATTTTTTGTTAGATCTAGATCGATCTTCGGTGGAGAAATAGTCCAGAGTGGCGTTCTAAACAAAGGGGTATTCGCAATACTGTCATGGCTGATGCCAGCCTCTGACAAAAGCGGTTGGATGCGAATACCGAATGTTGGAATCACGCTAGTTTTCAGTAAATAAAGATGTTCATGATATGGTCTAAATATGGTGTTATATGAAATATGATGAGGCAGGGATGCAGTTTTTGTAGCATACTGCAGCGCCAGTTTATCACGTCTGTCGTGCAATGACGTATAAACTCTGCAATGGATATATACGGAATGCTTCTAGACTGATTCGCAGTCCTTGGTTGTGAATGGTGTCAAGCTCTTTGAGATAAGAATCACGGGCTGACTTATACACAATACACCTAAAATCGTGTTTGGATCTTATTAATGCTCGACATAATCGGAACAAGACCGAGGTTATGCAGGTCGCGCATGATACCATATTACCATGTGGTATCATAAGTTTTCTCCAGATCAAAAATATAGCAACAAAATGTTGTTTCTAGATGAAAGCATCCCTGACAAACGTTTCAAATCTAACGAGATGATCAAGAGTGCTCTTTTGGGACCGAAATCTGCATTGGAGGTCTGTAATGAGGTTCTTGGACTCTTGGCCTTCAATTGACAAATCTCTCCATGGTTTTGCAAATACAGCTAATTAAAGCGATCGGACGATAATTGGTAGGATTCGTAGGATCTTTACCTGGTTTAGGGATGGAAATTATTATGGCTTCATGCCACGAAGGAGGGAAAATCCCATCAACCCAAATCCAGTTATAAAGATCTAATAGTATTAAGAGGGTAGAAAACGGTAAATGTTTTAAAATTTGGTAGTGAATTTCATCTGGACCAGTTGCAGTATCTCGAGCTCGTTTAAGAGAATCGCGGAGTTCAGCGATAGACAACGTTTCATTATAACATTCATTATTACAGGACTTGAAATCAAGTCGCCTTTTCTCCTGCTGATGTTTAATGACCTGAAAGACATCAGAGGAGAAATTGGATGATGAATTGAATGAAAAAGTACTGGCCAGGGAATTAACGATATCAGGAAATGTTGTTAGGGTGGAATTATCAACATTTAGATGGTTAACTGTTAATGCACTACTTTTACCTTTAAGTCTACGAATCCTATCCCATACCGATTTGGAAGTGGTACGGGAATTTTTCCCTGAGACATAACCTTGCCAGGAATACATCTTTGCTTTGCGTATGGTTCTACGGGCCTTCGCCAGAACCATTTGGTAGGCTGCAATATTCTCCATGGAAGGGTGATTCTCAAGGGGTCTTTAAATACGTTATTATACCATGGTTAATTGAAACGTTTGGGCTAAGTCATGGTCTTTGGAATCGCCTCCTCAGCTACATCTTGAAGAATTGAAGTGAATAAGGCCATGAGTTCATCTGCATCTTCTAACACTTTTGCATCAAAAGAGAAGAGACACAAAGATTCAAAAAGGGCCCAATCAGCCTTATGAAACTTACACCTCTGAAACAGGACCGGAGAGCAAATGGTTAGATCAAGGGAAGAAAAAGAAGCTGTAGCAGGATGTAGATAAGTAGGCGGGTCATCATTTAATAAGCACAAATGTTTAATGATAGTGAAGTCCGCTATTTGTTGACCTCTGTTTTTATCATCTGGACTACCCCAGAGTGAATGATGACCATTGAAATCTCCCGTAATCATAAACGGGAGGGGAAGTTGTGCAACAAGGTCATCAAGATCTCTGGGGTTCAGATGTAAACTAGGTGGTAAATATACCGAGCAGAGTGTGATAGGAATATGTAGAGTCTCCCTCACTGCAACTGCCTGTAAAGGTGAGTTGAGGGCGACTTTACTCTGCGGAATATTTCCATTAAGGAAAATGGAAACAGCACCGTGTACCCTACCATCATCGTTAGGAAAATGATGGTAGGTAACAAAATGTCTGAGTGTTAAGACATCTTAATTCGTTAAAAATGTTTCTTGTAAACAAATAGCTAAGCGATTAAATTTTTGAATTAAGATTTGAACTTCATTAAAATTTGATTTAAGACCACGACTATTCAGGGAGGTTTAACAGGACTTCTATGATGTTGCTTGGGGTCATGTACTTCAACAACAACATCCATTAGATTGTCCTGTATCCCGAACCTGTTAATGAGTCTGGGGAGTCTGAGATTGAGGAGATTGTGCCCCCCACTCATCAGGCAGTTGGTGGAAATCCATCCAGGTGCGATAACACCAAGAAACGTTTTGATAAAAGCGTTCCTAGAGGTCCCGTAGTAGGAGGGTAACGAGGATCCTGTCCGAACCTTTAACAGTCTGGGTGTTTTACGGGCTTTGGAGGAATGGTGGGTTTCGGTTTTGACGAGGAATTCCGTCGCAGCTGGAAATTCAGCATGTGTTTGAAAAGCAATGGAAGTGGTCTTCAGCTTGACTGCATTTGCAAAAGACATTGCAAATGTTGGGGTTCCAGCCTCAACCAACTTCCTTGCTTCAGGGTAAGGTATGTGTTGGGTTAGGGTTAGACGTAGTTTTTGATATATGCTAAAACATATAAAATTAATGATGATATATCCCACCCACTGCGGGGCTGAGGACAATTCTATTAATAATGGAAGTTGAGGACTACTAATACTAATATTTGGTTTTGGCAAAATGACTGGCGCGGATTTCTTTCGTATTAAATTTGATGGCCGAACTTGAAGAAAATGATTTAATTTTTGACATCGTTTTTCCAATAAAATCATTCATTGCCTGGATTATTAGGCCTGATAATGCCCCATGCCTATGCAACTGCCTTCCAGCAACCCTGTGTAGGGTCGGTACAGATGATTCTGGTGTTCTGCATGGATCAGCCCTTGGACCTGTCCTTTCTGTAATGTATACTAAGAACTAAGGACAACTAATCGATAACCATGGTTTCTAGGACGACATTCTTATGCACATATTACACAGCTGATCGCAAGTTATTCCCTTTCAAAAACTGTTTCATTCCCTAATTATTCTGACATCAAATTGTGTACTCATGACATTAAAGATAGGATGACAAGAACTATGTTGAAATTAAATTTAATTGTATTAAGTAAATCAGAATGTATTTTATGAGGTCCAAATACACATCTGAAAAATACAAGTTCAAATGATGTGGTTGTACGAGATGCAATATTTGTACCATGAGACACTGAAGAAGGTAGGTGTTCTCTTAGGGTCCAATTTGAGCATGAACAGTCAAATTAGTGAAATTTGTCAAAAACTGTTATCTTATGACTAATAAATACTCATTATATTACTACATTCAATGCATATTTTATGTTTGAGAACCATGTCCCAGAAATAGGACGCTGTCATTTAATGCGGTTGTCCTGGATTTAGGCCCAAGTAAGATTTGCACTCAAGCATCCAAGATGGCTGCTGCAATCAGCTGTTCATTGTTTACATTGTAGTCGTTTTGATAGCCGCGTTTGTCACGCAATTAGTTTTTCTGCAATATTCTGGGATGCACTGTTTAATTGGGAGAAATAAATTTCGTGAATCATGACGTAACGTTATGTAAACATATTTGGAACTCTGTTAAACCCGAATGATATTGTTACGCAGTTAGGTATTGGGTGTTAATCGGACTATTGACCAGTCATAATTTGGAACATAAATTTGCTTTCATTACGGCAGTGTTGAGTGGGATTAGGTCTAATCAAACGAAATACTGCGGGGAGTATGGTACAATAGTGACCTTACTCTCATATACTATTTGCTTTTGTCTTTTTGAAATATCGCTTGATTCGTTTGTCAAGTATAGACAGATGTAAATGACTACTACAATGTTTTGTTTTTCGATTTGCTGTTCAAAAATTCACCATCCTTTTACTAGATCATGTGATTATATTGCCGAATTAATAAAATGTTGAAAAATAGTTTAGATAGATTAATTGTATTTACCAAGAACAGCTCTTTTGGCAATTACTGTAAATTAAGCTTTTCAAACGTCATCGTTTGAAAATTTTAACGGTGTCATTGTGAGCTCAGTTTTCGTGATTAGATACTTATTAGATAAATATATGTTTAGATAGATTGTAGACAGTAAAGTGTAGCGATATTTTTTTAATTTGAAATACTTATTGGTAATAGGTATGTGTAGTTTTGATAATGTAACATTTATTAAACGTGAATTATTTGATTTGCTCTTAATGGAACTGGAACCCACGTTAATTTGATTTCCAGTGCCATGTGACATTTTTCAGTGTGTAAATAAAGCGGTTTATTTTAATCATTTTTGTTGAAAATCGTTATTTTTGGACAAAAATGGAAATTATTTACTACTAAACGGGTCGGGTGTCACCCAATTTTTTCTTGATCTTAATACTATAGATCATTGCCTTTTTAGTCAGCATTCCAAAAAAAACCCTTAAACCCGCAGTGGGTGAGATATAGGTGGAATAAAATGACATACCTAAATTGAGCTATTTTGGTACCTTGCAGCACTAAGTCCCTTAACCAAAAAACGCGCGATGTAAGTTCATCAAACTTTCAGAATGTATAGCCATATCTGCTACCCTATAAAGTTTCCTTAATCTACTTGCCGTAGTTTAGTTGTACGCCATAATTGAAAAGTGGCCTGAAAATGACGATTTTTTGGCTTTTTTCGGTCTTACAATTTCAAATTCTTGTCTACACTCTAACCAGCGGCTGCCAGGCAGGATACGCCCACATTTTCGAGAGATGGATAGCGAACAAGCTAACAAAAAAGTCCCTATACCAAAAAACGCGCGATGTAAGTTCATCAAACTTTCAGAATGTATAGCCATATCTGCTACCCTATAAAGTTTCATTAATCTACTTGCCGTAGTTTAGTTGTACGTCATAATTGAAAAATGGCCTGAAAATGACGATTTTTTTGGCTTTTTTCGGTCTTAAAATTTCAAATTTTTTTCTACACTCTAACCAGCGGCTGCCAGGCAGGATACGCCCACATTTTCGAGAGATGGATAGAGAACAAGCTAACAAGAAAGTGATTTTTCCTACAATCAAGGGCCATAATTCAGGAAATTACAATTCGATATGCGCAAATATCGAAAGGAACTGAGATCTTTGTGTTATAAACTTACATTTCAAGTTTCAACAAAATCGGATAAAAATTGCGACCTCTATAGGGTCCACAACCTTGATATACCATATTTTTTACGCTATTTGAGAACGAACGGCGGCCATTTTGTCTGTCAATTTTGGGCCGATTTTCACGAAATTCGAACTCAGTTCGCCTTAGGGTGTAACGGTGATATCATAATACGGTTTTTTAAATCGGATAAAAATTATTACCTCTATAGGGTCCACAATCTAAAAACGCGATTTTTCGTACAATCAGGGCCATTATTCAGGAAGTTACAGTCCGATATGCCCGAATATCGATAGGAGCCGAGATCTGTGGGTTATAAACTTACATTTCAAGTTTCAACAAAATCGGATAAAAATTGTTACCTCTATAGGGTCCCTAACCTTGATATACCATATTTTTACGCTATTTGAGAACGAACGGCGGCCATTTTGTCTGTCAATTTTAGGCCGATTTTCACAAAATTCGAACTCAGCCATCCTTAGAGTGTAACGGTGATATAATAATACGTTTTTTTAAATCGGATAAAAATTATGACCTCTATAGGGTCCACACGCTAAAAACGCAATTTTTCATACAATCAGGCGCCATAATTCAGGAAATTACGGTCCGATATGCGCGAATATCGAGAGGAACCGAGATCTTTGAGTTATAAACTTACATTTCAAGTTTCAACAAAATCGGATAAAAATTGTGACCTCTATAGGGTCCACAACCTTGATATACCATATTTTTAGGCTATTTTAGCCCGAACGGCGGCCATTTTGTCTGTCAATTTTGGGCCGATTTTCACGAAATTCGAACTCAGTTCGCCTTAGGGTGTAACGGTGATATAATAATACGGTTTTTTAAATCGGATAAAAATTATTACCTCTATAGGGTCCACAATCTAAAAACGCGATTTTTCGTATAATCAGGGGCCATAATTCAGGAAGTTACAGTCCGATATGCTCGAATATCGATAGGAGCCGAGATCTTTGGGTTATAAACTTACATTTCAAGTTTCAACAAAATCGGATAAAAATTGTTACCTCTATAGGGTCCCTAACCTTGATATACCATATTTTTACGCTATTTGAGAACGAACGGCGGCCATTTTGTCTGTCAATTTTAGGCCGATTTTCACAAAATTCGAACTCAGCCATCCTTAGGGTGTAACGGTGATATAATAATACGTTTTTTTAAATCGGATAAAAATTATGACCTCTATAGGGTCGACAAGCTAAAAACGCAATTTTTCATACAATCAGGCGCCATAATTCAGGAAATTACGGTCCGATATGCGCGAATATCGAGAGGAACCGAGATCTTTGAGTTATAAACTTACATTTCAAGTTTCAACAAAATCGGATAAAAATTGTGACCTCTATAGGGTCCACAACCTTGATATACCATATTTTTAAGCTATATTAGCCCGAACGGGGGCCATTTTGTCTGTCAATTTTGGGCCGATTTTCACGAAATTCGAACTCAGTTCGTCTTAGGGTGTAACGGTGATATAATAATACGTTTTTTTAAATCGGATAAAAATTATGACTTCTATAGTGTCCACAAGCTAAAAACGCCCACATGAAAATGTGGGCGTATACAAATGGTTCGATTGATCTAAAATTGTGGCAGTGGGGTTTGGAGGGGTTACTCATCATACCTAAAAAAATGGTGAAAATCGGTCACCCACCATGTGCCGGTCCCTGCATGGTTCTCTCGCAAACGCATTCTTAACTTGTTTTCTTTTTTCCATATTGGGCACTCTCTAGAATACGCAAAATGAGGCACTTGGCAGTTAATACAGTGGTGGTCGGGTTGACAAGATGTACTTTCCTGACCATTTTGTCCACATCGAGCACACATCGCTTTCCCCTTACACACGTTTTTACTGTGTCCAAAGCGTTGACCATGCAAGCAACGCAATGGATTTGGGATGTAAGGGGTTACTGGTATGGCAAGAAAACCAGCTTTGATCATCCTAGGAAGATCTGATTTATCAAAGGTCAGGATATAGGTGTTTGTTTGAATAATAATACCATTACGTCTGATAGAAATACGTTTGACGTAGGTAACACCTTGTGAGGCGAGATTTCAAGCATCTCTATCTCAAAGCTGCCTTCTAAATCCTGAGACCGTATAACACCTCTTGAAGAATTAAGAGAGTTATGCTACTTTGATTCAGTGACAAACCTTGCACTTTCACGTACCAGACCACATACCCCTCCGCACTAAGAGAACTCTTGACAGTCGGAATCAAATGCTATCAGGGTAACATTTACCTCATAGCATACAGCACGGCATATGCTCATCTTCATTAGCACATTCGGAATAATAAAACGGGACGTTAAGTTCCATTGATTTAAATCTGATTTTGAAGTTGTAAAATTGGAATTCAGATTGACTGATCCGAAAACATATTGTAGTTTATATAATATTTTACTTGCATTACTGAATGACACACTACCAATCCCACGGTCATAAAAGCAAAGTTATTTACTTCTGAAGTTATGGAAAATACTTACCGTATAGGTCTTATCATCTTTTTTTTTGACATCAAGTAAATATTTTCTGTCATCACAATGCCTATAGTTTATTTCCCAACTACCCTCACAGTGATTCAGGATGTAGACGGCTTTTCCAGCTCTAATTGCCGTGCCACAGCTACAATACGCTTCACCATTACACGATTTTGTTTGAATCTGAACCTGATAATAGCAACGTATTCATAATTACACATGTTTTCTATCGTATTTTTTGTTTGCTAAAGCAATAATTGTATTGTTTGTAAACAATTTTTGATTCATTAAAATAAAACAAAACTAGGTTTCCATTATCCGACTATCTTTTTAACTGACTGACTTTCATATGTGCTGACACATATTCAAATTTACCAACGTGTTATTGGAAAAGGAGTATACACAGGTTTCCTGTATTAGCATGTGAACTGGCTAAAGTCTTACAGACTGCAGCACAAATAAATGACTACAATCTGCATTAAATCTGGCCACAAGAATTGATATTAAAGTGGCTAAATCGCTAATATTTGGGACCTAGAAATTGACACAAATGGGTCTCAACGCATATAAAACATGTAATGTGATATGAATGTATAAACTGATTTACATTCAATCGTTTCAGTTGTTACTGTAATTTCTAATCAGTTACGTTCGGCGAGATACGCCAGAAGTCTCAATCGAATGCCAATCTCTAGCGTCTGGTTATTCCAGTCTACACCGATAGTATTTATTGCGCATGCTCTTCAGATACGAATATGACGTCACCGTTTGACATGACTAGTGGAAAATGCCTAGCCTCTTTTTTGCGCGTCCCTTATTACAAATGGCACTGAAATGCATTATGGTACACGATTCGTGGACCAATTGTGAAATGTTTATTTTTATCTTAAATATTGGAAAACAGAAGCCCATCGTTTCCCGGTAAGATCACAACATCAATGTTGATTTAAATTGACAAATAATTCGTGTTTTCAATGTCTATGATTTTGTATTAATATTAATATTAAAAAGAACCAATTTCCTTCGGGTATAAACTTATATTTTAAAGCTGAACTCCGATTTTAAAACTACAGATATAATTAAATAAAAAAAAAGGTTACGCCTAAAACAACCGCCATATTTGTTTTCAATTTCTTGAACTAACATGGCGATCGTTTTGGGTGGACAAACACATAGGCAGGCCACGCCCACCTCCAGTAATTGCCGTGTCAACCGAAGTGTCCACATCCGGTTATTTATAGTCAACTACCAATTACCTCCTGACTGATTGAAGTCTTTCCACTAGTTTTTATGACGCAGAAAAGTATTCGGTGTTTCTACTCTGTTGTGCACAAATTTCACAAAATGAGAAACAATTGGTTGGTGTTGGTTGATTTGTTATTATTTGGGATAAGACAGTTTCTCTGTTATTTTTAGAGCAAAAGTACTCCGTGGTTGACTTTTTTCGTCTAATTAGTAAAATAATATATACCTAATCAGACATAATAATTGTACTAGCAATAATATTTTCTGTGAGCTGATAGTGGAAAGACTTCAATCAGTCAGGAGGTAATTGGTAGTTGACTATATCTAACCGGATGTGGACACTTCACTTGACACAGCAAATACTGGAAGTGGGCGTGGCCTGTCTATGTGTTTGTCCGCTCAAAGCGATCGCCATGTTAGTTCAAGAAATTGAAAACAAGTATGGCGGTTGTTTTGGGCGTAACCTTTTTTTTATTTAATTATTTCTGTAGTTTTATAATCGGAGTTCAGCTTTAAGTTCATAAAACTGTGACGTCTAGAGGTCCCATAGTCTACAGCCGCATTTGTGGTATAAAAGGGGTCATAATTCAAAACTTACGGTCCCATATACGTGAATATCGAAAGGATCCTCGATCGTTCGGTAATAAACTTAAATCGGATAATAAAAAAATGTGCCCTCTAAAGTCTCCACAAGCTAAAAACGCGAATTTTCATACAACCTGGGGACATAATCTGATACGGTCCTATACATGTCAATATCGAAATAAACCGAGATCTTTGAGAGATAAAACCCATAATTAAAAGAGCCAAATCGCTAATATTTGAGACTTGGAAATTGACACAAATGGGTCTCAATTACTCTAATTTCAAATCAGTTATGTTCTGCGAAATACACCAGAGGTCTCAATTTAATATTATGGGGACAGATGATCGTCTAAGACTCAGGAACACCGTTTATGTTGTTACTGAGTTCAACGAATACAGGAAACTACAAAGTTTACATACACGAAACTACAATATCTATGGGGGTGGGTTATTCTAAGTCTAGACTCTAAGTTAGTAGTAGGATAATGCAAGCTACTTTATTGCCCTAGTTTTCGTCACACATCATGTAGGTAAAGATTTCTATATTAAACAGAACACTTTTCACAGACCTAAAATAACACTATAGTGTTATATCAATGACAATATCTAGCGTCTGGTTATAAGTCTACACCAGTAGTATACAGATAAGAATATGGCCTCACTGTTTGACATGACTTGTGTAATATGTCTAACCTCGTTCGTCGAGACCCTTGTTACAAATGGCGCTGAAGCGCATTCTGGTATACGATTTGTTTACCAATAGTAAAATGTTGATCACAACATCAATGTTGATTTATATTGACAAATAATTCGTGTTGTCAGTGTCGGAAACTGTGGATGATATTGAGTTAGAGACTTGGCTACTTTAAAGTCGCCTAGATCGGATACAAATTGTGATCTGTAGTGTGTCCACAAACCAATTGTGCACGGACAGACGGACGGACGGATTGGGGCGACCATAAAATACGTCCATATGACAATGTGTGCATATAAAAATCGTAGATGATTAATCCAGCTTACCTCTTGTAGCCACTCTTTATTCTCGTATAAAGTAAAAACCCCTTCGCGCCTGTGCTCATAATAGCTACAATTATATACATATTTATACAGAATACAAAGCTCAGCATTTTTGTTTGAGACGAATAATACACATTGATTTCTAGCTGACGGGGGAAATAAAATTACCCATATACACCCACCAGTAGCTTAGGTGAAGGTAGAGACACTAACTCTGTTTAAAACTGAAACACGATTCGGAATTTCAATAAGGTTCCTTCAATCGGATAGCTGACTATTTCCAGCAAGTTCGAAACTAAATCTCACAAATTCGGACTTGCAGAACGTATACAGATATACAGAGTTGGTGCGACATAAATTAATGAGAGATTATTTGTCCCCACGCTTGAAACAATACAGAGAAGGTGTTCTCTTTCTCAATGACATATATATATATATATATATATAAGGATTGTAAAGCTAGTAGTTAGTAGTTAAACAATCTGCCTGTTGCTGGTCTTTCTTTATGCCCTAAATGTTACATTAATTAACTGACCAAGACCCTAATCAACTCTCGATGCCATCATATAGCCCTTTTTTCAACAGATCGAAATTCGTTCTGTGATATTTAGTAACTGGGGAGATTAATAAAGGTCGCCTAAATAAATAGGTATGTATTATTGTTTATAGATCTTAATCCGATTTGCTGTTGATAATCCAGACTTTGTTTATTATCGTCATAACGGCAGTAATGACAATCGAGGCTACACTGTTATTGTAATGACGATAACACGGCTCAGAATGAAGTAATTGGACTGAACTTTTAAGCATATTCACTCTGGATTATCTAATTGTAACTGGTATAGCGCTAACTGTCAGCTCTTTACCTAATCTTACATAATGCCTTGTTAATAGGCAACACTCACTAACTCCGTTTACATTACAAATTCCAAGCGTGCCAGGAACCGCGCCGAATACGGAATGGTTAATTCTTTATAGTGTAAATCGGTCAAACGTAAGCATTCCGTACTGTAAACCGTTCCTGTGTGGTCTCGGAACCGTTGTCAGTACTGTATGATTGTATTTTCGTTCTCAGTACAGTTACCAGTAAACATTTTAACGCAAGAGTCAGACCCCTCCATCCCCCACCTCAACTTGTAGTACAAGCAACGCAGGTAATTTATAAACTATATAGCAATTCGCTTTCGTTTCCTCTCGTAGGGCGATATCATTTTGATGATACTGCTAACTCTTTCACGATGAGCACCAAATCGGTGGGAAGAACTCATTAATTCATGCGGAGTTGACCAACAGATGTAACATGATCGCCGCATTTCTTTTCACTCGTGTAACATGTTGGGTAACGAAAGTTTCACAGTTTGCAGGCCAGACACGGTTCTGAGATCTATCATAAGATTTTAACAATTGTGATATTTAGTTTACCCACTTGCTTTCACTTGTGAACATATGCGGATCAGTTTCGGCCTTGCACATTTTGGTTTCAATTGAACGTGTATCGGGTACAAGATGAATCTGAAATTAAATGAAAGCTAAATGAATATGCTTTCTTTTTTTGCCAGTGATTTAATAAACGAGTTGTAATTGGCTGTAGTCACACGAATCAATATTAATTTTACGACAATAAAGTTTACGACATATGTCGTAGACCAGTATAACAGTCTTTGCCAAACGTGCCAATTCACGGGTGAAGAACGCAATGTGTGATGAAGACAAAATTAATGATTTTTTGATAAAATGAGACAGCTATGTAAGATAGGGTCTAGTCAAAGGGAATTCGAGTCGTTAAGAGATTCCCTTAATGAAGGGAAACTTCTAGACAGCCTGATCAGAATCATTTATCGTCAATTAGTAAATCAGCCTGATACACCGAAACAGCGTTCTGTTGGCTACACACCATAGACTTAAAAGTTAGACCAGTCACTGAAGTTGATTTAACCAATTTATTTGTTATTCTCTCAACTCAAATAAATTACTTGCAGTCCGCTTTATTAGTTCAAAAGTTCAGAACGAAATTCATCAACATTCACACAAGACAGTCTAAATAACTTAAAAAAAACTGCAGCCGAAATATCTGCAGCTAAATACCAGTACAGTCAATCTACTAATCCTGTCAGCTCGAATTGTTATAATAGAGGTTATTATAATAGACGTGGTCTACCCTAGCGAGAAAGATTTTCTCGATGAAGGTTTACGAATGCATCATACGGTATGTCATTGAGTCAACTGACGTGGTTACGATTCCTCGGTTTTACGTGACAAGGAGTAGGGTTGCCTGTCCAACGTCGTGGATTTTCTCCGGGTCCTCTGGTTTCCTCCCAATGCTAAAGACCCCTACGCGCAAGCGAATTATTGAAATAAAATTGAACAATATGGTAGTCCCGAAATGACATAGTTTGTGTCAAGTGGGCGTTAAACCATATTTTCCTCTCTTCCCATTTCCTTAAACATACATTATGCAAGAGGTAAATCTATCTGACTATTGCGGATCTTTCTTTAGGCCTGAAATGTTATCTAAATTATTAATTAGACATTAATTAACTTACTAAGACCATAATCAACCCTCGATGTCATCGCTAGCCTTCGCTATTTACTGGATTAAAATCATATCTGCTGCTTAACGCTCATTGATAATTAAATCAAAAAATGGATAATCGAGACTATGTTTTTTTTATCGCACTGACTTTAGTAATGATGATCGAGGTTAGGGCCAAAATTCAACCGCTAAAATCTCAGAGTGGATTAATTTCACTGAAATTTACAGCAAATTCCCTTTACAGTATCTAGTTTTTAACTATTATAGTGAGAGCTGTCAGCTCTTTATCAATCTCCCATAATGTATCTTTAATTAAATCATTCAAGCGTATCAAGTCTGATACAATTAATCAAATTCGTGCTTAGTCAATTCGTTTAGCAGGTTTTGCTATTACTGGTTTTACTCCGAAATGTTTTCGACCTACTGTTGCCATTAAGTCGGGCTGTGACCCCCTTGCTGCTACGCATCTTGTGCGGCGGAAGATCCAAGAGGTAAGTTATGATCATTGTGTCCACCCCATGGCACCGTCTGATTTTACATCCAAATCTTACAATCTCAGGGTTTGAAATATTAGTGTATTAGTTTATTTTAATAAACTACGGTATATGTGATTAACATTGCAATTTCTTACAAGGGTACTTCTCTGGTCATATCTCGCTAAGAAGGCATTATTTTGTTTTAATAGAAGAATAGGGTTTGATGTTAGTATGTTTATATTCCAAATGTCAAGGCATTGATGAGAGCGTCGAACCAATATTAACCATGAAAATAAATAAATATAAAATCAAAATCGAGCAGAGTCAAATCAAAGGTGTACATATTAATTTAAAACTTGTTAGGATATGTAAGAGTATTCATTATGGTAGCTCACCTGTATATCACCAATACTACTGTTCCCCCAAATACGGTGAGGTGGAAACAAAGCCACTGTTCTTAATTTTATATAATGGATAAATGATCTGTCAACATAGATTTGAGCAGGGGATAATTGTACTTCCATTTCAAATACTTGATCCCATTCTGTACCAGTAATATCTAAAATACAGTTACTGTGCCCAAACATTGCCCGGTCATCACATTTATCTACTTTTGGATAGTTAATCTCTACATTTAGCTGACAATTTGCTTCATTTGAATGGCAAATAGGTGCAGTTGGTCGAAGTCTGATTGAATCCTTTTGGTTAGGACCAATGGTTATTAACGGCGTTAGAATCTGGAATTAAAAGTATAACAGTTATAATTGATTGCTTCAAAAATATATCTCCAGAGCCAGCTGTTGAACTCGTAAGATAGTAGAAGACGATAAACATCTGCTACTAATGGATGTTTATATATTGTAAATTGCTTGAACCGAGGACAGAGAATCAGTAACGATGATATGCTTTAAAGATGAAGAGGATTGTATGAACTCCAAGGCCTGAAGAATGGCCCGGAGCTCATAGAACCATCTGTGTAAATATGAGCATAATCACCATACTTAGACCTTAACTCTCTAAAGAGAGATTGGAACACCTTAGAGCTAGTATCTCTCTTTTTATGTTGAGTAAGATCGAAATCGATCTTTGGGGGAGATATAGCCCACGGTGGAGTTCTAAAGACAGGGGTATTCGCAATACCGTCAAGGCTGATACCAGACTCAGACAAAAGGGGTTGTATGCGAATACCGAATGGTTGAATAACATCAGTCTTCACCAGATACAAATGCTCATGAAAAGGTCTAAATATGGTGTTAAATGAAATGTCATTCGGAAGGGATTCTTTTTTCGTAGCATACTGCAGGGCCAGTTTATCATGTCTGTTGTGCAGTGAGGGCTCATGCGCCTGGATGTATAAATTGTCCACTGCAGATGTACGAAATGCTCCCTGGTTGTGTATGGTGTCGAGCTCTTTGAGATAAGACTCGCGGGCAGACCCATACACAATACACCCATAATCGAGTTTTCATCTTATTAATGCTCGATATAATCTGAACAAGACCTTAAGGTCTGCTCCCCAGTCAGTATTTGATAATACTCTCAATATGTTGAGGGCTTTCAGAAATTACTTTTTTAGGTTTTTATTGTGGGGAATAAATGATAATTTTTTTTATCAAATATCAACCCCAGAAATTTGGTTTCATCCACAACTGGTAGGCGGTTGCCATCCAAAAATAGTTCTGGATCGGGATGCAAACCTCGTTTCTGACAGAAATGCATGCAAACAGTCTTGGATTTCGAAAAACGAAATCCATTTTCGGTTGCCCATTGTTGAAGTGAATTCAAACAAAGCTGCAACTTACGTTCGATTATCCGCATGTCTGTAGAACCATAGCACATCTGAAAGTCATCAACATAAAGAGCGCCGTTTGTACCTGGTTTAAGGCACGCTGGAATCGTGTTAATTTTTAAAGCAAAAAGAGTAGGAGATAAAATACTTCCCTGTGGAACCCCCATTTCCTCAGGAAATGGGTTAGAGAATATTGATCTCAGTCGTACCTTAAACGACCTATCTTCCAGGAAATTTTTAATGAAGATAGGTAAGCGACCTCTTAGGCCGAGGTTATGGAGGTCGCGCATGATACCATGTTTCCATGTGGTATCATACGCTTTTTCCAGATCAAAAAATATTGCAACTAAATGTTGCTTCTGGATGAAAGCGCCCCTGACGAACGTTTCAAATCGAACGAGATGATCAAGAGTGCTCCTTTGGAACAAAAATCCACATTGGAGGTCTGTTATGAGGTTGTTGGACTCAAGGTACCAAACAAGCCTTCGATTGATCAATCTCTCCATGGTTTTGCAAATACAGCTAGTTAAAGCGATCGGGCGATAGTTGGTAGGATTCGTATGATCTTTCCGGGTTTAGGGATGGGAATTATTGTGGCTTCATGCCACGAAGGGGGGAATTTCCCATCAACCCAAATTCGGTTAAAAAGATCTAGTAAAATTAAGAGAGTGGAAAAGGGTTTTAGAATTTGGTAGTGTATTTCATTTGGACCAGTTGCAGTATCCCGAGCTCGCTTTAGCAAATCCCGGACCTCAGCAATGGAAAAGGTATCATTATAGCATTCATCATTGTTGAACTTTAAGGCCTCGAAAGGCATCAGAGGAGAAATTGGATGATGAGTTAAATGAAATTGTACTGGCCAGAGAATTAGCAATATCAGGAAATGCTGTTAAGGTGGTATTATCAACATTTAGATGGTTAACTGATAATGCAATACTTTTACCTTTAATCCTACGAATCCTATCCCATACTGACTTCGATGTGGTACGGGAATTGATCCTTGAGACGTAACCTTGCCATGAAGATTTCTTTGCTTGACGTATTGTTCTACGAGCCTTCGCCCGGACCATTTGGTATGCCGCAATATTCTCCATGGTAGGGTGGTTCTTTAGTCGTCTCAGGATACGATCACGCTCTTTAAAAGCGGATTTGCAATATCGTTATACCATGATTTATTGAAAAGTTTTGGTGTAGTCGTGGTTTTTGGAATCGCCTGCTCAGCTACATCTTGAAGAATTGAAGTGAATAAGGCCATGGGTTCATCTGCATCTTCTAACTCCTTTGTATCAAAAGAGAAGAGACAAAGATTCGAAAAGAGCCCAATCAGCCTTATGCAACTTGCACCTCTGAGGTCTTTCGACCGGAGAGGGAACATTATCATCAATCAAGATAGGAAAGTGGTCACTACCACACAGATCTTCATTTACTCTCCATGTAAAATCCTGAAACAGGACCGGGGAGCAAATGGTGAGATCGAGGGAGGAAAAAGAAGCCGTGGCAGGATGTAGATAAGTAGGCGAGTCATCATTTAATAAACACAAATTATTAATGTTAATGAAGTCCGCTATTTGTTTAACTCTTTGGTTATCATCTGGACTACCCCAGAGCGAATGATAGCCATTGAAATCTACCCTAATAATAAAAGGGAGAGGGAGTTGGGCAACAAGGTCATCAAGATCTCTGGAATTAAGATATAAACTTGGTGGAAGATATACAGAGCAGAGTGTTATAGGAATAAGCAAAGTCACCCTAACTGCAACTGTCTGTAAAGGCGAGTTGAGGGCGACGTGACTCTGAGGGATATCCCCATTAAGAATAATAGAAAGACCCCCATGAGCTCTACCATCATTAGCTGATTATTGATGGTAACTAACAAAATGTCTAAAAGACAAAGTGTCAGAATTCCGCAAGAAAGTATCCCGTAAACAAATAACTAAAGGATTGAAATTTTGAATTAAAATTTGGTTTCAAACCACGAAAATTCCATTGAATAAATCGAATTGACCATTGTCAGGGATAGTTAATTTTTGGCGGCTTACCGACGGGTTCCTTATGAACATCCGCGACGATAATACCGTCTATCAGATCATCCCCATATCTATTATAGAGAGAGATGGGATTTTGTGAACCCTTTTTCTCTCTCTCGCGCATCTTTGCCAATTTCTTTTCTTTTTTTTTTGGAAAGACCTTCTTGTGTTGGTAGAATACCCTTTATCTGCGAGCCTGACCCAGTAGACCTGGAATCAAGCGTGACAGTTTCAGGGAGAGGCGAGATAGATGACTCCTTGTCGTTCTGAGGGGAAGAGTTAGGAATGATCCCAACATCTTCAGTTTGAGGCAAGGAAGATGAACCCTCGCCAGGCAAAGAATTAATCATTTGAATCGAGCTCTCACTGGTTTGCGATCAGCCCGATACCCCTTTTACATGATCTGATGATATTATTTTAGGCATTTTCTCTTTTTTATGCCAGGTTAAATCTGTCTGAACAGAAATGGTTCTAGTAGAAACTTTGGCTACACTTGATTAAGATTTTCCTTGTGGTGCAATGGGAAAAAGTGTAGAAAGTTCTACTTGTTTTTTAGCATCAAAATATTACATTTTACGTTCAGACATAACCTGTTAGACTCGTTTCTGTTTTTTCCAAATAGGATATTCGCGAGAGTAAGCAAAGTGCTTAACCTTGCAATTAACACAACAGAAATCCATCATGGCCACACCGAGCGCAGGTGTCTTTACCTTTGCAGACGGTTTTACTGTGTCCAAATTTTTGGCATTTATAACATGTATACATCGAATTACTCTTCTACTTGAATTCAGTGTCCTGTGTGGAGACACCTTGATGGGGATGTCTGCCAAAGATGTTGATTTAAGCAGCATGGTAGCATGCTGCTCCTTGGCACATTTTATCAAGAGTGTTCCATTTTTAAGTTTTTTAATAGCCCTGGGCTCACCAGCTAAGCCAGCAATGCCCTTGGTTATTAAAAATGGTGAAACTTTGGACAGGTCTGTAGAGGGAATCTAAATCAAGAGAAACCTCGGCCATGCCTTTGAAATTTTGCTTTTCAAATTAAATAAATCAGAGACGTCCTCTGTATTAGGGCGTTTCTGTTTTGTTTTTCGTTCTTTTGTTTGTGTGCGTGTGTGTGTGTGGGGGGGGGGGGAATCCATGAAATTTACTAAGGGGAGGACTAGCGCGGATATCCGACGCATGGTCTCAGGGCTCCACGAGGGGTATACTCAAGCCAGAAAGTAAAACTACTTATCTAACCTGATTGACCCAAGCCGCCACTCTGTAGAATGTACTCAGGACACAAAGGTAATTCTGCTGAGTATAGAAAACAACTAAGCATTGAAATTGAGAAATGTACATTCTACAGAGCTAAAACTACCAAAGCCGATTGATCAGAGTAGGCCACACCGACCTCCCGTCTAGGTGAACCATGGGCCAAAGTAATGTGTTGCAGCGAAAGGGCTCGCAAGCCAAATCCCCACTCAATTACCAGGATTCCCCTCTCCACCGACACGGGTCGCAACGCACGGCAAACATGTTGCCCCATTACAAGGATCCTTTCAGTCGCCTCTTACGACACGCAGGGCATAGACATAGGAAGGGTATATTCTTAACACCCCCTACACCCCAGGGGGCGGGAGGGGGGTAAGAATGAAAGGACGAACAAATAATTCACACACCCCATCACTTAGCTAATGGCACAGTCATTCACTTTGAGATATAATGCATTGCATTAGGATCGTTAGGATAGAGGATGGCATGTTTTACTGATCCACGTTCCCCCATTCTTTCCCATCAAGGTGGGATCGTAACAAAGAGAGGTCAGGCGCAGATTGACAAGAGACACAGTTTTCTTCTACGATCCAATGCATTGCTACGGTAAACAAAGTAAAAATAATAAAGCCTAATTAGGGTGAGATTGTGACCTACGCGGCCTCCATCCCCGAGGTTATGCTTTGACTGACGGTGGGACGGCAGGGTTACTGCAGCCAGTCCCACTGTAGGTGTTGACTTACGTAAACTTCAACTCATCTCAAAGTAGAACATTCCCCATTTCCCGCTAGCATACTAGTGATGTAAGCCAAAATCACACACGAACTTGGGACATTTCTTGTCTATTTGTTCTCGGGTAAAACGGATTGGGAACACTGCCATATCTTAAAGATTATCCCTGATAACTTTCTTTTCGACCAGTCAGAATATGTTTAGAAGAAACCTTCATGCCACAGCTGCACGTAAGCTTAAACGTTATTGTTCTTGGTTTCTCATTCACCTGCAGATAATCCTACGTGGAAGCCTTGTAATCAACTTTGCTTTAAAAGATCACACGAAATTCTCCCAGCCAATGATTTAATCTGAAATACTATACCTCCAAACCGATAAATGTAGCTTCACTAATGGATGATAAACACAGTGGTCCATCATGCTCAAAGCTGGCTCTCACGGCACACTTCACCTGAAACATTTGATACGATTAGTATTTTCCTAACAATTTAGGTTAGTTGACCACGCGATGCATTGATTCATCCAGTGCTACACTTCAATTCAGACATCTGTTGATTTCTGTCTTATCAGATCAGTTTCAATTCTACTACACTTTTACTGTTTCAGTAAGTAAGCGATCAAAGTCTTAAGTTGACGATAAGGTAGCTCATAACCAGTAAGACAAAATTATGGGAAACAACTGACATAGAGAAACCGCCCCGGAAAATCCCGATAACACCGGAAGCGAACCCGCCATCTCCAGACTAGCGAGCCAGCGTCTTACATGGACATCATGGTGTCGATCGATGGAAACAACACCACATCAGTTCGAGTCGACACGCTCCGAATTAAGGTGCTCTCAGTTGATGGTTTTATCGACATAAGCACCGCTTCACATCTAATGGGAAGGGACGCACAGCTGAAATACTTATGTTTTGTTTTAAGTTTCTAAACAAAATCTATAACATTTATCCCGGTGGAAATGTTTCTCGTTAGTTTAGTTTACGATCTCTACAAGATTTGATTGTGATTTATATTTTGTAATTTTATATTATCTTTCTAATTTGTGTAAATCATTATTATTATGACAAGACAGGGATCCATATCATTTCTTTAAATGGTTTCTAAATAGTAGGCCCCTAGGCGGTCAGGTCATCCATTTGCAAGCGTGCTTCGCCAGCGTCATACGGACTTTATCCAGATAAATGGTATGGCTAGTATCTGAAACTTTCACTCGGGGATTAGATGAAAGTGAAGTTGTTATTAACCCAGAATTAAATGTTTACCAAAATATAACTCTTTTTATGTTTAAATCCGCCACTCATTATTTGAGTACCTGAGATCTGACTTCTATACAATGTGTGAACCAAATAATTAGTAAAGAAACGATATAAAGCCATTATTAATTTAAAGAGCAAAAATTCTACACACTAAATACGGGAAACCACCCTAAATAGGTAACCCGGGGAAGGGCTATACTATAAACCGGAAACTAATCCTAACCCTAACCCTAACCCAGGCACACAGAGGATCAGGCTCCCGGTTACCTATTTAGGGTGCCAGTCTCCGGGTTACCTATTTAGGGTATTTTCCGGTATTTAGTGTGTTTTCCGGTATTTAGTGTTTTTCCGGTGTTTTCCGGTATTCAGTATAAAATGGTGTTTTCCGGTTGTTTTCAGGTGTTTTCAGGTGTTTTCCGGTATATAGTATTGCCTGGCTAATATCAACAGTTATAAACGCAGTTTTAACATGGGATATCGTGATTTGTTGTTTTTTGTTGATGACAGAAAATCTGTACATACCTTAAAGCCAACTGATGTTATCCCTTTAGCTTTAAGGGTTTGTTCTTCCAGCTTGGTTTCGTTTATTACAGTAGGTGACCCTATACTTGAGTTGGATTTTGCTATTACTCGATCGTCGACATACCAAAATACAGTATACCACAATATTTCAGTAGATTGTTTAAAGTCACAGTAAAATAGGAAAGGCTGGTCAGTTGGTGAGATATAATTTATGTCCACTGTAACGTTTATATTTGCTGTCTTGTAATCGGGATAATCTATAAAGGCATTTATAGAATTGCAAGGCTAATCGATGAGATTGTCTGGTATTGGTTTCAATTAAACTCATGACATTTGATAATTTATATGGGAATATTGAATTCAAAGAAGTCAACTGATATTCAAAAATAAACCAAACGATAAAGGAAAATTGATTTGAAAGTACCCGAATTTCTGGATCTGACAATGAACCAAATAACGATAAAACAGAATAATTTAAAATATTTGAATGGTATTCCAATAGAATAAGCAGCATTATGTTGCATGAAGGGTCCAGCTAAAACCTGTCTATTTGTAACGTTTTTACATTTTACAAATCGGATAAAAACATTGAGCGGATTTTTTAAGTCATAAAAATTACAGAGTGTATCGTGGATCATTCAGTGCAAATCGGGTGTTTGTTTGCTAGATTGACAGATTAGACTAGCAATTGTTCTGATTTAGATTTAATTTTGTTTAAGTTTATCTACATGGAAACAACAGGCTTTACATCATATTAAGACAAAAATTATATTACCACTTTTATTTCCTAGCAAACCTGAAAAGAAACAAAACGGTTTAGTCTCAAAAGTTTCTTACATTAATTATCTACACGAATTGCTAGACCTTCGGTAAATGACACTGACTTGATATTTAATAGGAATAATACGAAATAATGTCGGTGTCTGAATATATAAATGAAAACAAAATAGCACAAAATCCATAAAGACCGACTTTTGATTTTTCGGGTGTTATCAACTGCCCTTCAAATTCTGTCGGTAAGTGTGGTCGTTTCGACGTAGTAAATATTGAAAATACGTTAAAATGAAAATCTTACCTGCACAATAACCTGCAGACGCAAGCGGGAGTCTCTTTAAATAATAAACAGTGATAAATTCACAGCGTTTCATTTTTGTTGTAAACTCCAAATCACATTCATTCGAAACATGGATACATAGATTAACATCCTGTTCATTATCTGATTCTGTAACATTATCTGTTGACAACAAAACATGTAGATTGTAAAAATTGATGTTTTGATAGATGCTTCACTTTGTTATACGTTATTGTCGTTTTCTGTATGCATGTTTGTTCCTACTGGCATGATATTGGGATATATCTAGAATAACTAAATGTTAAGCCAGAACGAAAATGCCAAACATGTATGAATGATTGTTTCAAATTCTTCCTTCATGGGTACATAGAGAAGACAAGATGCGGATTTACATCGTCGGGGTTATTTTATCCTGTGTTCGCATTCTCTCATTGGAGATATAAGATGACGGTGTCCAGCATTCCATAATCTTTCGTTTCTTAGTATATCGCCGTTTCCATAAACTTTGTCAGGGCGTAGAAGCTAATCGGACTGTGAGACAATGGTCACGACATCAAATGTGAACTTATACAAACTTAGCAGATATGACAATCTGTGCAACTTAATCTTAAATCGAATTCCAACTGCACGCGAGTGTGTACACGGGACCTCGGTTTTTCGTCCCATCCGAACGACTAGACAGCTGTCCTTGTCAGGCCCTCCGTCCTGCATCACTGACAAGGGGAAACCACGCCGGAAAATCTGGATGAACTTTCTCCCCCAATGCAGGGATCGAACACCCGACCTCCAGGCTAGCGAGCCAGCGTCTTACCCACTTAGCCACGTGATCCCCGTAAATCGTAGCCTTTACTGGTGAAATACATACAAGATTCTTGTCTATATATATATTACCTTTCAGATATACAGGATAAACTGTACCACATTTGTTTGGACCTGGACTGTTTTCGCTGTGTAGTTCAACACCCAATTCTCCATACCACCCCTCTTCTATGTATTGGTCAGAAATAGGTGTTTCACCTGCTTTCAAAGCATATGTTGGAGATCTTTTGTTAGTGTCAGGAAAAGACTTCGCATATGTACATGGGTCTGAAAATAATACAAAATTATTCAGCAAAATCAAATGAGAATTTAATTTAATAGTAGGTGGGGTCTTATCACAGGAATCAACCAAATAATTGTCAACCATAGATTATTATTTGAATGAAGTTTTTAGGGGCCATACTATATACCGGAAAGCACCGGAAAACAACCGGAAAACACCGGAAAACACCATTTTATACTGAATACCGGAAAACACCGGAAAAACACTAAATACCGGAAAACATCGTAACTACCGGAAAACACCCTAAATAGGTAATCCGGAGCCTGGTCCTCTGTGTGCGGTTTTGGACCAAATGAACGCCGATGAAGGAAGGTCAAGGTCATAACGATGTTCGTTTTACAAATAGCCCCCCCCCCCGCCAAAAAAACCAAAAAAATTCCGATTTTTTTTTCTCCAAAATTTTTCCGAAAAATTGGTTTTACAAAAAAACATTCCGTAGAAAATAATTTTACAGAGAAAAATACTGGACAAAAATTTAGAATTTTTTTTTTCAGAGAAATTTTGGAGAAGAAATTGTTTAAAAAAATCTGAAAATTCCAATTTTTTTTTCTCCAAAATTTTTTTGACGAAAAGATTTTTCTGTCACAAAACAAAAAATTCGAATTTTTCCGAAAATTTTTTTTTACAAAAAAACATTCCGTAGAAAATAATTTTACAGAGAAAAATACTGGGGGGTGGAATTGTCCAGTCACGTGACGAACATAGATCTCTCGTTCCTCAAGCCATATTATTTCTACAGTCATTGTCATTAATCACAAATTACGGGATGATATACGAAAATGCAGGTTTACTTTGAAATAGTGCAAATGATACTTTTCCATCTACAATCTTCAGATCAAAGGATGCAAGTTCTTACACAGTGCAGTATAATTTGTGCAACAGAAAACATCTCGATTATCGATTGTCGGAAAAAACATTTTCTCGGGGACATTTTTTTCCGAATACGCATTCGGTGTAAGTCTTCAGCCACCAGGAAGTGGTTAACATAGTAATGTTTTATTACGATAGTAGTACATAAAACAAATTGGTTGCCGGAGGTTCTCTGGGAGAAAGTAGCCTCATCGGCTAGAGTCCTCTATTTCACAAACAAAAACAACAATTGCTTCCTTGAAAATTTATCGATCAACCCTTTTTACAGACGTCCAGCTTACCACTTCCCATCAATGTAGTAAGATAGAATATGTACTTTTCTCATGGACAATTGGGCGAAAGTTGGGGTTTTCTCAAGAATAAATGGTCAACAAGTTGGGGAAAAAAGCTCGAAAAGTAATCCAGAAACAAATACTGTGTGCAGCAATCGAAATATGATGTAATATGTTGAATATTATTATGATTCAATATTAAGAATCACGAGACCGGCGCAACCGGCATATAATGGGGCCCTTCGAGGGCAGTGTTTAATCTACTGAAATACTGAAACATTGAAATTTACTGAAATTTACTGAAAACAAAAATTAAAATACAAAACATAATATGGTCAATGATGGAGGTAGACTGATTGCGTCTTTTAAAACATTCAAAACATAATAGGCATCAACAAAATTTTGGAGAAAAAAAATCGGAATTTTTTTGGTTTTTTTGGCGGGGGGGGGGGCTATTTGTAAAACGAATATCGTAATGACCTTGACCTTCCTTCATTGCCGCTCACTTGGTCCAAAACCGCACACAGAGGACCAGGCTCCGGGTTACCTATTTAGGGTGTTTTCCGGTATTTAGGATGTTTTCCGGTATTTAGTGTTTTTCCGGTGTTTTCCGTTATTCAGTAAAAAATGGTGTTTTCCGGTTGTTTTCCGGTTGTTTTCCGCTTGTTTTCCGGTATATAGTATTGCCGAGGTTTAGTGCAAGTTGATACTGGGGTATAAATAGGGTACAAAAGGTCAAGTATATCATAACGTTTTGGGTTTGTGCAAAGTGTCCTAGTCGTTGTTTATTGTACCCCTAAATCACAGAATTATCTAGCAATCAAACATGAACAATAACATGCAATTCAGTAAATCGCTGTAGAATGTAACATAGTGTATCCCCAATGGTATTGCTCTGTTCTATTTACGGGGGAGACACATAGTCCAATCATCCTCTCTTGATAACTGTACTATTGTTATCGACTAATCAAAAAAGTCCATATATAGAAAGCGGTTGGCCATGGGTGAAGTGAAGTGACTCGAATATTTCTTTTCAACCAAGATCGCAAACTTGTTGTAAACGTTGTCAAAATATTTTAGAACATCTCTTTGTGTGCATGTCACTTCTTTGATATATCCTTTATTGCAATCTTACTGTTCTAGTTGAACGAAAAAACTGCTATAGTCTGGTTAACGTAACCAAATACACCAAGACGTGTATGTAAACTCTTTTAATTGGTTCGTAGAGTTAACCTACGAGACCAATGAAATCATCAAAGGCAAATAATTTGAATTCGTGAATATAGTGGAGTAGCACGGATTTCTGGTTTCTTTCTTTCAAAAACAGGCTTACTAAATTTCTCAACTGTGCGTTTCAATGTAAAGAAAATACATAACATGTAATAATTACAATTACGTCTATTTTATTTACCATATAATGACGTCGTCGGATTTATTCGCTATTTCAAATCCATATTGCACATTCATAGGTCAGATAACCTCACACCTTGTTGGGCATGGCCATTGATAAAAAAATAGTGTGATGATCCTAAATGTTTGTAATCAGGTAAGTTTGGCTTTAAGTTTTATTACGGTTTTCTTTTGGTTTCAAAGAGTTTCTGTTTCGGATATTCTGTCTCACCTTGACCACGACAAAGTTAGTTTTGTTTTATTTTTAAATTAAATTTGGATGTAATCATTTTCAATCGTCTGTGTTTTTATCGTTAGTAAATTCTGCCAGAAATATTGGTGTACTGTTTAATAGTCACCCATAAGGTAGCTCTGAAAGGAAATCCTTTGATATAGACACTGAAAAAATCTGGACGTGTGTGAAAATTACTTTACACAAGCTTGTGTTGTTTTGCATTCCATAAATCTTAAATATATATTCATATGTAATCCTATCTGTAAAACAAGCAAAAATGTTATTGTAAGCGAGAAATTAATATTTATTAAATCCGGAAGTGACGTAGTTGGTTCAACACGCTCATTGGTCTCTATAGTATGCATACATATTTGGCATAAGCTTACTGCTGTATTTTGTTCACGCATCGTCCTTTTGCCAAAAATCAGAACAAAAGGGCTGTTTATTGGGATATTAAAAAAAAAGCACGAATTTATGTTTTTTAACGTATAGTACCCAAAGCCATAGCGTAAATTCACTTCTACTGAAAAGTACGTTCTGGCCCAATTGCTGCCACATGGCTAATTGGTTACTTACATCATGTGTTTTGTTTGACAGCTTGCAAGTGACATGTATTTAGTCTGCATCGATATTTTTGTGCTTGCTGACAGTATTTTTCAACAGAAACAGACCAAACTTATGGGCACGTGAGACATATAATATAGTGCATTTTGGCACATAATGTTGACGTGAACGACTTTTCCTTTTCTTTTCGTTCATTTCCTCTTGCGAATGGCTCGAATTTGTATACGGCATTACTGTAGACCCATACAAGCGATATCTTATATTGTGATACGTAGGTGTCTGAGGTTGACATACTTTGGAAATTTATATATTTATGTGAATGTGTATGTGCCAATAGTCCGTTTAAATAAATATAAACACTGCCAGCAGACTCGGCACGCACAAAAACATTCCAGCTGACAAAATATCTCCCACTTGCCGGGTGTCATACAAAACACGTGATGTAAACAATTAGCCGTGTGGTGTGAAATGGTCCAAATCGTACTGTTCAGTATGAGTGAATGTACGCGTCGGATTTGTATATTGAACAGTCCCTTTGGTCGGATTCTCATTCAAACACGACGCGTGAACAAATTACAGCAACACACTTATGCCAAATCTGTACGCTTACTATAGAGACCAGTGAGCGTGTTGAACCAACTACATCACTTCCGGTTTACAACAAATCAGTTTCGTGCTTATAAAAACATTTTTGCTTGTGTTACAGAGGGGATTATTTATCAATATATATTTGAGATTTATGGAAACCTTGTTGAAAATCGTTGGTCTTCTCCTGGTAAAGCGTACCATCAACACATATTTTGTGTTTATGAAAAATGAACTCCATACAAAACCAGTTGGATTGTGACTATAAAGAGCCATTTCCATTCATTCGTGGTGTAAGTAGAAAGGAGTGGGAGATTCTCGGTGGGATGTGGTCATAACGGACATAATCCAACAAAGCAAAAATTCACTTTGGTCTAACGGCCAAAAATATAAGTAATTGCAATAACGATATATTTACATTAGTGTTTCCTTGATAAAAATAATGTATCATCAGAATTCAACTGAAAAAGTACCCTATAACAGTAAATTAAGATAAAGTTGTCGAATTATTACTTCTTCTTTTTCTTGTTTTTTTTTAAAAAAAAAAATGCTTTAGCTACTTTAACAGAAGATTATTATGGCAATATCTGTTATTTATTTTTACTCAGACAGGCTTGTTCTTAGGTGTCTGTTGTCAAATTTATGCAGTTTGCTGATTTTTATTGACCCACTGTAGATCAGAAGAATACATAATCTACGTATTGATTTTAGTTTTTAAAAGTTGATTTAATGCGCGTTGGAAAAATGAGTTAAACTCCTATTTAATTTAATTGGTTAATCAAATCGAAATTGGACATTATTGGTTAACTGGAAACCCAGGAAACACAAAAAGTTTTGGTAACATTCGTAATTGGTTCTAATATGGTTACGGTCAGAATGTTTTCTTAAGCACGTTCTCCAAACGTTCGAAAAGGGTTCAGAGATAGACTGTACTTTTTATAAACGTTCCAGAAACATCGCCAGAATGTTATCTTTTGACGTTTTAATTTTACTTTCATTCAACAATGACCGAACGTTATTTTGAATGTTTATAATGTTTCATCGGCAAACATTGCATTAAAACATTAGA